CATTTGGCGTCGGGTTTCATCAGTCTGATCCATCAACAAATTGACGCTTTCCATCCTCTTTTGTAAGGCCCAACCCGGGCATAAAGCTCGGAATTGTAACAAACATTATCCATTTGTAAGCGATGGTTAAAGATTTGAGATTGGTTTCTGTCAATTCTGAAATTTACGTTTTCTTAGGCTTTATTCTTGGCTTTATTCTTAGCTCTTGGTTCACTTTGTACTCCAAGGAGAACGTAAAAACACCTTTTCTGAGTGTACTGGAATTGCTTTATTTTGCTACAGTTGGGGAATTCAGTGCACCAGAAAAAGTCTGTTTAAGTTTTTTACACAAAGTATTACGTGGAAGGAAGCAAAATCTATAAGGTTGCCAAAAATCGAGAAAAAGTTTGGGGGTCAAATTAGGTCAAATCACTTAGGGCGTCTTTCACCAGGATTGCTCATCATAGGGCATCTTTCACGGCTGGCGAAGGTGGGCTTGTGGTGTAGTGGTTGAAGCTTTGTTTCAAAAGCTAGCTGGATAGCTTCTGCTTGGGTTCGATCCTGCTCTTACTTTTGTTTTTATTTTGATGTTTAATCGCTCGGAGTGGCTATAAAATGTTCAATAAACTTTCAAATTGATGTTCAGAATTGAAATTGACATAATTGAACGAAGGGGAAAATGACCATCCACCCATAAGTGAATTTAGTTAATTGATGAAACATTAAAAAGAGGCAAGGTAATTGAAATCTTTAATAGCTATTTATTACTATCACATTCTAATAGATAGATCAATTGAAAGGTTTTTAAAAAAGAAACTAGGATATAACAATAAGCAGTGAGTGTTCAAAGAAAAAAACCAAAAAGAAATCTTTCTAACATTGTTCTTGCATCATACTCAAACATAAATAGCAAGTTATTTAATGCTATGAAATGTTCAATAAAATTTCAAATTGATGTTCAGGAGTGGGGGTGACCCTTTGGGGAATGAGAATGGCCAACAGAATGGCCAGCTTAGAATGGCCCATCCACCCACCTTTCTGCATAACCTATTTAGAAAGGTGTGATGTCAAAGCCAGCAAAACAAATCCGAAGCGATACTTAGCCCACGACAGTTAAACTCAAGTGGAGGCAGGCCTTATAGCTTTTGCTTGGTTCGATCCCTGCTCTTGTTTTTGTTTTATTTCGCTCCGAAGTGAACAGGCCTTATGGCTTTTGCTTGATGTTTAATCGCTTCAATTGAGAAACATATTTTTAGCTTTATAAAAATTATGATATCTTTTAATTGATAGCAAACCAAACGTAACAAAAAATAACGGACTTTTCAAAAAAGAGTAAAACTCGACTTTGGAGTTAATCGATGTCGAATGGGCTCCATATTTTGACAATTTTTTTTCTCCAGCTTGTTTGATTCCACGTGTATTTTACCATTTACCTAACTGCATTATCATCATAGGTAAAATTCTGAAGGAAATCGAAATTCGGATTTACCAGAAAAGGGTTTGTTTTGAAGAGCAGAAAATTACATCACAAAATGTACGCAGTTTACGTAGTTTTTGTCACCTCTTTTGGCCTCTTTTTGGCCTCTTTGTCCTCTTTTTAGGCCTCTTTGTCACCTCTTTTTGGTGATTAGTTTTAGGAAGATAGAATCAGGTAATTTTTCAGAGGAAACTCAATCTTTCCACTTACTTGATAGAAATAGCAAACGTTTGATCCTGGGAAATGAGTCCAGCCCAAATCGCGGAGAAAAATTTATTTACTGAATTTGAGAGTCTAAAAATATTTTGAGAAACTTTTGCTCTAAAAGTATGCTATATTACTTTTTTAAAAATGATACAATTCTTGAAGACAAAGTGACAAAAGGATCATCAATTGAGATTCATCGAATTTGTACTAAAATTTTCTTTCTACATTCTTTACATTTCCAGCTTAACCCCGATAAGCTTACTTAAAAGCTTATTGAGCTGTAGATTACCCTTTTTACTGACAAATTACTTACAAATTACTTACAAATTGCACAGATACTGAGCTTTTCTTGAGAAGTCGTTCCTTGAATGTTCTCTTGTTTGCAATAAGTCAAAGCTAAAAGTAATTATTAGTATTTTAAAAAGTAGTTTATGTAAAGACAAAAGAAATGGAGCAATCTTGTGATAGAATGTTTTATTCTTGTTTTCATTGATGTTTCATTGATACTTCATTGATACACCTGTTGTAGACTCTTCGAAGTCTAATTTAGAATCAGATCTAACTTAGAATCCCCCCCCCAGTCAGTCTAACAAAGAATCAGTTTGTCTCCGCAGATCTAATCAGAATCAGTTTGTTAAAGGAGGATCTCAAAAGGGTTTATTCAAGGTTTATTCAAGCTTATTATACGGAAGTGGATGGTGCTTTTTCGGTTATTTTTCGGCTATTACTTTTCAGTCACCCTCTCATTTCCGGTTATACGGTATAACCAAAATGAGAAGGTGGCCGAAAAGTAATAACCGAACAATCGTGCCCCTCGTAATCGCTATCCATCTGGCAAACCGGCTCACCAGCATAAGGGGCTTCCCGTTGGGACAAGGGAATAGGGAAACGAGTGGTGCCAAGCGATTAAGCTGACTTCGTTTGTATTTGCCAAATTGAGGATCTTAAGTTATTATTCTTACGTATATTACTATTTCCCATAATTTCTAGATGCCATTAAGCCGAGACACGAGGCTGAGATATGGCTTGAAATAAATAATTGATTATTGATAAACTTTCTCTTTTTTTTCTAATTCGTGATTCTCGAGAATGTTTTTTTACAATAAATTTTATAGACAAACGCTTTTTATCTTATTTTCTGATTTTATTCTGATTTTCTTTTATTTATTTTTCCTAATATACTTGTATATGTTGTGTCCGGATTTGGATTTTCGTCCGATTGGGTTTGAACTTCATCGCGGACGTCCGATGCTTAATATATGTTCTTAAGCGGTTTTCTGTGATAGTTTCTGCATTTTTCAAAGGTCTTTTATTGATTACAGTCTATATCGGACGCGTCGATACAGATCGAAACAATAACTAACGTAAAGCATTATATGTTCTTAAGCTGTTTTTGCAATTTTCTGCGCTTCTCAAAAAGAAATTTTCCAAAAGAACATATGTTAAGCACGTTTATTATTGTTCGAATCTGTATCGGGCCCGTCCGCTATAGACTGTAATCAATAAAGACCTTTGAAAAATGCAGAAAATATCGAAAATGCTTAAGAACACAGCGCAAGCATGTTTATATTATTGCCCATCCATATAAGATTTGGATGGGTCTAAATCGGACGTTCGATATGGACTGTAATCTAAATCGGACGGTCCGCGATAAGTTCTAATCTAAATCGGACGGGAAATCTAAATCGGGACACAACAGATATGTATATAATATATAATATATAATTTTTCCTCCAATAAGTTTGTTTATAACTCTTTTCCCATAAGAACTGCTCTTAGAATTTGGAATCGACTCCCCAGAGTTTTGTCTCCGAACCCCAATAGGTCTCGAAACCTTCAATTATCTGTAGATGATCTTGATCTTGAAGCTCTAGTGGATCCTTGACGTTATCTGTGCTACCACATTTTACATACTCTATTATATCGTGTTTCTTTTTTATCTTTTTATCGGCCCTTTTCGTGTTTATGTGTATGAATTCATGTGTTTTAATCTTAAATCTAACGCACTTTATCTCAGGTCCTGAATAAAGTATATATATATATATATATATATATACTGACCAAGAAAAAATGATGCACGTCGTCGAAATGGCAAGCAAAATCCCAAGAAAAAAACCGAATGAAAAAGTGAGGAGAATTTGCGAGAAATTTGAGTTTTCCTTGTTTTCTAAATGTTTCTAAATGTTTCTAAATAAGTTTTTCAACAATTTTGATTAAAATTTAGATTTAAACTTACTTCTCAGTGATCAACATTGATTTTTCCATCCTAAAATCGATAAATCTTTCAAATTCAAATTCTTCAAATTTTTTCAATTCAAACAAATTTTAAATGTTTCAAATTGTTTGATAGCGAGAATTCGATTTCGAATCTAATTCCCAATCGACTTCCCAATCCACTTCCCAATCCAATTCCCAATCCACTTCTTCTTATCCGATTAAATTTTTACTGATAAAAAGGTGTTTTTTGACGTCTTTTTTTTCGGGAATCTTTCAGCGTTTACTCTCCAATCGTTTTCATGCTCAAATGCTCATCCATCAAGTGTAAACATAGATTGAAACTTTTCTCACTTGAAACCTTAGAACAACGCCGTCTTATCATAGATTTGGTTGAGTGCTTTAAAATTGTAAAAGGAAAACATCAAAACCCTCTTTTTTAAAAATCTTTTCGACTAAACTCGAGGCTTTTGGCGACTAGGCGTGGCTCTTTTATCTTGCATCCCGAATCTGCTTTCTCTAAATCCTCTAGAGCTTTCTCTAAATCCTCTAGAGCTTTTTTCGTAAATCGTGTGACTAAAGTTTGGAATGCCCTTCCCGACAAGTTGCGTTTGATCTCCACCGTGTCTGATTTTAAAAGGGCTATTTCGTTGCATTTTAAGTGATTTTAAGTGACTTTGTCATCTTTTATCTAGTACATTTTTCATGTCGTTTTTGCACTTTATTTCTTTCTGAATAAAGTATTTATATAATTCCAATCCACTTCTTCTTATCCGATTAAATTTTTACTGATAAAAAGGTGTTTTTTGACGTCTTTTTTTTCGGGAATCTTTCACTCTCCAATCGTTTTCATGCTCAAATCTATAAACACACCCTTTCTAGTGCACTGAATTCTTTATTTTAATCATAAAACAATGAAGAATCACAAGCCGTGCACTAGAAAGGATGCGTTTCGATCATTTTGAGTCCAAACTCCCCACCCAAAGTCCCCAAATTGTACAAATTTTTATAAAAAACCAACTGTATCACATTGAGCGGGAATTTTCTGAAAAAAAAAATGAAAAACCTGTATCACAATGCTTTAAAAATAATATAAACTTTCAAAAATCAAATCATCAAATCAATTTTTCCGTTCCTCGGTGAGAATTTGTTTCATATGATTGATAGCATCGTGAGTGGCCTAAAAATGGCTCAATTTTTGATTTTTCAGAGAAAAACTAGTAATTCGAAAGCTTTTTAGCAAAAAAATGATCTTAAAATCAAGTTTAAAGCTTAAAATTAGCTTAAATAGCTCAAAATTAGCTTAAAAAGCTCAAAATTAGCCTAAAAAGCTCAAAATTTGCTTAAATAGTTCAAAATTGGCTTAAAAAGCTCAAAATTTGCTTAAAAAGCTCAAAATTTTAGCTAAAAGCTTTAGCTAAAAGCTTTAGCTTAAAGCTTTAAGCTTTTAAAGTTTTATTTCAATAGTTTTAAGAGCTGAGAAATTCAAGAAAGCTAATTGTGGCTGGTTGAAAGTCTCAAAGCTCGAAAGGTTGAAAGTCTCAAAGCTCAAAAGCTCAATTTGACATTTGACGAAGCTAAAGTTGGTTCTGGTGGGCTAATTCGAATCTGTGAGATGTAAGCAAATGATTGTCAAGTGTTTAGTCAAGTCAAGTGATTCGATTTTATAAGAAAATGAAAGAAAAAAACCTCGTTTTGATTCAATTTTCGATAGTATTTTCGGGCGGCTGACTTGAGCGCTTTCGCGAAACTCGACGCGAAATCGCTCATGAATGGCTGAACGGCGGCTGAAAAATCGGGGATATTGTGAAGTTGGTTTTGGCAAAGAACTTGAGACTATCAAAAAAAAGCAAATTTGATTTGTTATTAGCTATAGAAAAGTAGAAATGTAGAAATTTAGAAACCTAGAAATGAAATTTTACAACTGAAAACCAAAAAGCCATCATATTGTGGTCCAAAAACGGGATTTCTTTTACTTGAATTTGAAACAAGCATCTGAGAAAACAAGTTTTTTTTCTAAATCCTGAATTTTCTCTAATAATATTGCATCGCCTAAGCTTAAATTGTTTTGAAATGTCAAAAACCGCTTATCAGAGCCTATCAACATCAGAAAATAAAGCTGACGATGAGATCTGGTGGGGGATTAGCGAGAGGTACAAGCAGTATAAATCAAGAAGCCAGTCACGATCGTTCAAACTGAGCCTGTCCTATAGGAAGCCCTATAGGAGTGTCCGTCAGTCAGAGCTGACTCTAGATCTGACTAGTTGACTGTAGCCTGTCTTTCTGCCTGCTTGGAACATAACTACCGTCTTCTCTCTAATAGTAGTGCACCTTGAGCATCGCCTAAATTGCTCGAAATCTCGAGAACCGCTTATCAAAGCCTATCAACATAAGAAAATAAAGCTGACGATGAGATTTTGTAAGGAAATAGAGTGTTGAGCTTCTGCGTAAATGCGTTTTGGAAACTGTAAAATCGTCCAACTCGGCTGCCAGGGTGCAATACTATTAAAGAAAATACGGTAAATACAAATTTCAATGATTATGTTAATTTCACAAAGCATGGTAGGCATTAAAATTATTAATTATGCATTTTCAAACGAGGAAATCCTTTTTTTTGAGCCTACAGTAGTTTGAGTTTACAGTCATTCCAAAAAGTGTCTAGTTATTTGCTGTGCCAATCGATGTGGGGTTGGAAAATGTAGCTGACGACGAGTGTTCTTGTGGGGGATTAGAGGGTTGAGCTTCTGCGAAAGCTTCTGCGAAAACTTAGAAACCATAAAATAGTGGTCAACTCGGCTGCGAGAACCTATCAATATAAGAAAATAAAGCTGACGATGAGTGTTCTAGATTAAACCAAAAGCAGAATTGTGATGCAAAAGCCATCACGGAGAATTGTGGTGCAAAAACGGGATTTCTTTTGTTTTAATTTGAAACAAGCTTCTGACAAAACAAGTTTTTTAAAAATTTCTGTATTTTCTCTAATAATATTGGATCGCCTAAGCCTAAATTGCTTGAAATGTCGAAAACCGCTTATCAAATCTTATCAATATAAGAAAATAAAGCTGACGATGAGCTTTTGTGGGGATTAGAGTGTTGAGCTTCTGGGTAAATTTTGGGAAACTGTAAAATAGTGGTCAACTCGGCTGCCAGGGCGCAATACTATTAAAGAAAATGCGGTAATTTTTGCAATTCGATTTACTTTAAGTTTAAATTTAATCTAGATTTAATATTATTATTAAACGTAGCCTTTGTTCGTATCCTTTGTTTGTTTTTTTTTTTGCAAAACCAACTGTGAAACTTGTCCCATATAACAGCGACATCTTTGTCAAGACCGGCTGAGTAGATCGCTTGTTTCAACTGAAATTAAGATAAAGGTTAAGCTTTTGAATTAAGCCATTGTAGCTATAGATTAGTTTTAAGCTTAGTTTTAAATCTAACTACAAGCTCTATAATATTTTATCGTGCTAAACAAAAAAGTAACTATAGAGTGGTTGATAATTCTAAGTGCAGTGGCTTATTATCTATTATTATTAACTATCTCGATCTTCTCAAAGCTAAAATTTTGCACTCAGCACAAAAGCATTTCAAAAATCGAAATTGAAATAGTTTAACAAGAAAATTTCGGCGGAGTGTTGCCTCGTCTAGCTTTGAAAGCGTTTTCTCGACACTGGTTTAAGCTACAATGCTCGTTTAGGTATTAAAAAATAGCTGAAATTCAGGGCTATTTTTTGATACTAAAGCGCGCCTTGTAGCATAAACCAGTGTCGAGAAAAAGTCGCAAAAAGTAGTCGCGTAGTCGCGTAGTCGCAAAAGTTTTTTAGTATTTCATTTTTTTCAAAGCGCCCATACTTTCAAAAAATGCGTCTTTAGTATCAAAAAATAACCCTGAATTTCAGCTATTTTTTGATAACTAAACGGACATTGTAGCATAAACCAGTGTCGAGAAAAACTCGTTCAAAGCTAGACTACGCAACACTCTGCACCGTCATTATGGGGGTGCGGTACTATTACAGTATATACGGTAATTTGAAACATAAGCGTTCAGTGTAAAAATAAAAGTCTAAATTGAAAGAACTGAAGAAAATGTTTTAAAATAAAAATGAAAAGAAAAAGAAAAAGAAAAACTTAATGTCTCAAGCTTTCGCATGCTCATCTCGACCTGATGCCAATGGTTTGCCAAAGCGGTCCACATTTTGCGATACTCTATTGAAATCTCCGTGATTCCTAGAAGGTTTAAAAGCTTTACAATTACAATTACAACTTTACAAAACTTACAAATAAGAAAATTCTTAACCAGCTGATAAATGTACTGCTTTTTAATCAAGTGTTGAAGTTTAAAGCTTTCAAGTTTTGAAGTTTTGAAGCATTTAAAGTTTTCAGTGTGTTTCAAAAGTGATTTAATTTTAAGAAAAACTGTTCATTCACCTTTCGAAGAATCACTTCCCTCGGTCGTTGACTGAATATTCTCATTTTTCGTGATAAAATCGTTCGACGACAAGCGATCGTAGTTTGTTTTGGAGACAGAATTCGAGTGAATTATTTCCGGAATACTTTTCTCCGGAATATTTTTTAAACCATTAATATTTGGGGAAGATTGTGCATCGAAAATCTCAGTTGAAGTGGGCTCCCAATCAAAGAGATCTTTTTGATAAGTGATCGGTTGAAGATTCAACTTTTCTTCACTGGCCATCATTCGAGAATCGCCGAAGAGATGAGGCGGAGTCTGGAAATGAATGGGCACGTTTCAAGTTACAATAAGGCTTGTAAACTGAATATTTTTAATTCAATAAAGATATTCTAAGAAAAATAACAGCTAACAAAAGTGCTAAATAGCTTTAGCTTGATTCAAAGTATGGTTTAAATCCCTTTTTTGACTGAATAGCTTTGACTTGCTTGAGTAGATTTACCTTGATTCAAAGTACTAGTTTATAGTAGGCTTACAGTAGGCTTGCAAGAGACTTACAGTAGGCTTGCAGCAGGCCTGCAAGAGACTTACAGCAGGCTTGCAAGAGACTTACAGCAGGCTTGCAAGAGACTTACAGCAGGCTTGCAGCAGGCTTGCAAGAGACTTACAGCAGGCTTACAGCAGGTTTACAGTAGGCTTAAAGCAGGCTTACAGTAGACTTAAAGCAGGCTTATAGTAGGCTTAAAGCAGGCTTACAGTAAACTTAAAGCAGGCTTACAGTAGACTTACAGTACTTACAACAGGCTTGCAGTAAAATTTAGCAGCTAAAAACCACGTTTAATCCAATAATTGATTAAAAACTAAGTTCTAATGCAATTCACAAGCAGTAACTAAATAGAAACCCGGTCAAAGACGCCTCAATCTAGTACTTTGGAATTTTTCACAAATCGAATGGGATGTTTCAAGTTACAATAAGCCTTTTATTCCTAAACTTTTATACGCTCACTAAAATTGAAGCTTATTTTATTGAGAGTTGTATTTGGTTGAAAGCTCAAGCTGTCAGTCTTATCTTGCTGCATATTAGCAACTCAATCCCACCTGCGCTTCCAGTAGACCGCTTTGTGAAATGATATTTGCTCCTGGATTGATCTAAAATTTGTATACGGAGCTCAAATTTTCTGGCTACGAATTGTGTATGTTCTGTATGTTTATTAAGTAAGTTTATTAAGTAAGTTTATTAAGTAGATTCATCAAGTAAGTTCCTCAACTATATTCATCAAGTTTCTTCATCAAGTAAGTTCATCAAGCAAGTCCATCAAGTTAATTCATTAAGCAAGTTCATTAAGTAAGTTCCTCAAGTAAGTTCATCAACTAAGTTCATCAAGTAATTTCATCAAGTAAGTTCATCAAGTAAGTTCACTAAGCAAGTTCATCAAGTATCTTCATTAAACAAGTTTATCAAGTAAGTTCCTCAATTAAGTTCATCAAGTATCTTCATCAACTATATTCATCAACTATCTTCATCAAGTATCTTCATTGAAGTCTTCTTTCATTATTGCTAACTCTATTTTTATCTTTTACTTTGTGCAATCCCTTACTTGAGCTGATTCCAATGTTGAGGTTTTCTCGAAATTCGCTTTCTGAAAGAACAAGATAAACTTGAAAACTATGAACTTTGAATAGCTGATAATGGATCATAACTGATAATTATGATCCATTATCAGATATTCAAATCAATCAAATACCTGCGGCAAGAGTCCAGGATATGCCGAATTTAAGCCAATTTTTTTCCCTGTTGCTTGTAAATTCTCATCAGGAATGATATTCATCTTTAAATTCATTGGCAACAGAGTTGTCGTCGTTTTTTGAGAAATCATTGCCGGATTCGATGTTGGATTGATAGGTTGATTGTCCGAAAGCTAAAACTACGTGCTAAAGCTAAAACTTCAAATTATTTAACGCCTTAGACAAACTAAAGAATTAGTAAAGAAAGAAAAACGATTACCGTATTTTCTGTAATAGTAGTGCGCACTACTATTTTTTCAACCCCTTCCTGCCTGCACTAATATTACAGACTGCACTACTATTATAGACTGCACTAATATTACAGACTGCACTACTCTTATAGACTACTATTACAGATAATACGGTAATTGATCGATAGATCTCTCCAAAAACCTGATTGATTTTCTGCAATTTCTCCGGCCATTTCAATTGATCCAATTTTTGCGAACTCTCGCCAAAATTTTGAACAGGAATTGAGAATTCGGGAGGGAATTGTTGATTTTGACGCTGATTCTGACGTTCTGACGGCTGTTGGATGGGTTTTTTTTGAACCAAATCTGAATTTGATTTCGAATTTGATTTAAAATCTAAACATTTAGAAGTGTAATCGTTATTGAATAGTCATAGGTTTTCTATATTGTGTAATCGTTATTGCATAGTCATAGGATTTCTATTTTTTTAGATAAAAAGTTTAAAGAAACATAAGAAAAAAACAGAAGAAAGAAACAGAAGAAAGAAACATGTTTCAAAGGTTTACGCTATTGGAAATGCTATTGCTTCTCAATTGACGTTGAAAAGAATTTTTTAACTTTAAAATAAGGGTTTCAGCTTTCAATTTTAGCTTTCAATTTTAGCTTTCAATTTTAGCTTTCCATTTGAGTTTTGTCTTTTTCTTTTATGTGTTTTTTTTTGTTTCATTTTGTAAACCTAAAGACAAACCGGCTAATTGATTTTGATTGATTTGTTGATGGAAAGGATTCGGCTGAGTCATTGATGAGGGAAGAGGTGAGTCTAGAGTTTTTGTTTTTTGTTTTTTAGGTTTTCTTTATGAAAAGTTGTAGGTTAAGTACTCTAGCTACCAAATGAAATTCGGTTTTTATTTGATAATTCAATCATTTCTCTTTCAAATGACATTTGAAAGTTTTTGAAAAGCTTTATTTTGAAGATTTTTTATCAGCAAGAAACCGAGTGTTCAAAAACAAGAAGATCAAATCAACAAGAAGAAAAAGAGCTATCAAGCTCTCGCTATCAAGCTCTCGTAATTAAATGTGCAACCAATCTGAATTTGATTTGTCGTTTGACTCGTTTTTAAACACATAAACTTAACTTGATGTCAAAACATCAAAGTTAGAGCACATTTAATTACGATAGCTTGATAGCGATAGCTTGATAGCGATAGCTTGATAGCGATAGCTTGATAGCGATAGCTTGATAGCGATAGCTTGATAGCGATAGCTTGATAGCGATAGCTTGATAGCGATAGCTATCGGATCATTGAATCTTGTTGTTTTTGAACACTCGGTTTCTTGCTAATGAAAAATCTTCAAAATAAAGCTTTTCAAAAACTTTCAAATGTCATTTGAAAGTGAAATGATTGAACTATCAAATAAAAACCGGATTTCATTTGATAGCTTGAGTCGTTTCATTTGGTATTCAATTCAATTTTGACTAAAAGACAGTACTGAAAGTACTCTACAAATCTACAAATCTACTCTACAAAAGACAGTAAAAGCTACAAATCAACTGGATAGATAGAAATGGAAATATAAGCTTTAAAAAGCAACTAAAGTAGCAACTAAAGTAGCAATTAAAGTAGTTGACCTGAAAAATTGATTTCCAATCAAGACAAACCATCAATTTTCTTCACGATTTTTCCATTCTCCAAACAGCAAACCCGATCTCGAATCGGTTTTGGTGTGCTGATGTAATTCTTTGAAAAAAGCGATGGATCATCTTCAGGACTCTGTAAATTAAGAATTAAATTAATAAGATCATCTTAATGCTTTTAGAAAAACAATAATTTGATTTCACATCTAAAATCTGAAATCAAATTGCTCACTCTGAATTTAGTTGTGAAATTTATGGCCTTTGACTATGAGGCTTTAATCTACTTAAAAAAAACATTGATAGTATGCTCAATTTTGAAACAAACAAACGAACGAACGAACGAACAAACGAACGAACAAACGAACGAACGAACGAACGAACGAACGAACGAACGAACGAACGGAACGGATGAACGAACGAACGAACGAACGAACAAACGAACAAACAAACGAACAAACGAACAAACAAACAAACAAACAGCTTTACTACCAAGGTTTTTAAAATTTGAAAAACAAAAAGAACTCATAATAGATAAAATGATCGTAAATTTGATCTGATATTTGCCTTTCCTCATTAACAAACCAATAATTTCCTTCTAATCCCAATGTCTCCATTCTCGTTCATTTTGTGTGTTTGCACGACACTTTGCGCGATGTTTTGCTGAAATTTAAAACTAACATAAAAGGGGATAGTAAGGCATAAGACCCTATCCTGATGGCAATCGAATTGATGCTGGTGTAGCTCATTGGTAAGCGAAAGGTCGCGGGTTCGAATCCCGGCGCCGACCATGTTTTTAATTCCCAACTTCAATCCATAAAAGGACCTGCGTGTCCAACTGGATTATTTACAATAACAATAACATTCTGATATTCTTCTGATAATATAGAATTGTAAAGCTTTAAAACCTTACTAAACTCTTCGAATTCTTCGAATCTTTTGAAACTTACAATGAAATTCCGAGCCGGTAAAATGATTGTGCGTGGTGAATCGGGCATCGCGTTGAATTGATATTTAAATGGTTTTAGTTCACTTTTTGCTGAAAATAAAATAAAAATGAAGAAGCTTAACCAAAATGAATTTCTATTCACTTTAGAGGAAACTTTGTAACACTCAGAAATCCTTGTAACACTCAGAAACACAGCCTACTTTGATTCAGAACTTTCTAGAGCTTTCTAGAGACTTGAAATCGACTTGAAACTCAATCGACTTGAAACTCACTAATCTCATACTGCTTGAAGAGTTGATTGAAACTCGAGGCGTCGATGAGGATTGGCTGAAAAGTTTCGTCTACTGTAAATATACTGTAAATTCCTGTAATCAGTCAATACTTTTCTTTCAATTTCTTTAAATTGCTTCACTTAAAGCTTGAAAAAGTGCCAGCTAGAATGAAGAATTTACTAGGCCCAGATCAAGATCGCCTTTTTGATGCGCACATTTGATAGAGCTTTGAATGGGGATTCCGAATCTGATTTTTGTTTTTCCAATGGAGTTCTGTATCACAAGATATCTGGCATCAAAGTTTTAGACCCGAGATCCAACAGTATTTGATTAATTTCTATTCACTTTGTAGGAAAATTTGTAGCCTTTTTGTTTTTCCAATAGAGCTCTGTATCATAAGATATCTGGCATCAAAGTTTTAGACCCGAAATCCGACAGTATTTGAGCCCAATCCCACACACTAGATAATAACAGCTCCGGTCTAGAGGTAAGTCGATGATATCCAGCCAGAAGAATCCTGGTTTGGTATACTCCAACTTTTTAAAGAAAATGTACTAGTTGGACAAATGTATTAGTTAGATAAATGTACTAGTTAGATAAATGTATTAGTTAGACAAATCTACTAGTTCGACAAATGTACTAGTTCGACAAATGTACTAGTTAGACAAATGTACTAGTTAGACAAATGTATTAGTTAGATAAATGTACTAGATAGACTCATGGAGCTAAAGAATTCCATTAAAAAAACCTCATTTCTCGCGTGGTTGAACAGTGGTGGCATTGTTGGCTGATTGGGGTGCTCTGAATGGAAAATGTGATAGGATAAAAGAAAACTACAGGATTTACAAATTCAAATACATTCAACCGTGAGAATTTCTCACCATTTTCCCTTTTGACGGTGAAAACGATCGGATCTCGCAGATTGTCGAAATTCACTGGTAAAGCAAGGAGAATTTTAGAGAATGCTAAGAAATACTGGGCTAATCGAAGAATCATAGTTTGTTGATAGCTAAAAATATAAGAAATTTCAATCTAATCATATCTAAAGGTTTGTAAATCAACTTTTACAAGAAAAAAAGTAATCAGTGGAAAGAGTTACGAAAAAGAGTCGATTTTAACATGAACAACCTATCAATTCGGCTATCAATCGATGATAAAAGCAATAATGATTTAGATCCAAAAATTAGATTACAATAAAGTTGTAAAGAAATACTTTGCATGCTTGGCACTCTTCACTCAAGCCACGTTATTTCTTGTTTCGAGATATCTGATCTCACTTGAACTAAGATACTTTATTCAATAGCCGACTGACTCTCACTAACTGACTTTTGGGCTCTCCTTGAGCTCTCTTTGAGCTCTCCTTGAGCTACTTGAGCAATTTTCACATAAAATCGACAATTCAATTAAAAGCGACGATAAAAAACAGAAACAATTTCGTCCTAATTAGGAAACAACTTACACATGATGAAAGGAAAGCAGAAAAAGTAAAAACACATCAAATGAACAACAGTTGCCTTATATAAGCTTTAACGCAAGATATTCAGCTAACAAGCTACAAAAGAATAAATGACAAAACAAGGCTTTAACCCAAGAAAACCTATAGGCTTTAACACAAGATATTCAGCTAACAGAAGCTAACAGAAGACGCGACACTTTGGCACAAAGGTAAATCGATTACGAGAATTCGAAATCTGTAATCCGTTTTTGCTGACGGGCCTTGGTTTTCGAGATATAAGCGTGCAAAGTTTTGACAAATTTCGCCAAACTGCCACCTTGCCTATAAAAGGGCGCCACGACGACGGGAAGGAAGAGCAGCGGCTGTCTAGTGGATAGTGCGCTAGTCTACAAAACCTATAGGCTTTAACACAAGATATTCAGCTAACAACCTACAAAACAATAAATGATTTGGCGCGCGAAATAGAATGAAGACGCACGGATTTCCGTAATACTTTTCCAATTTTTAGGCTGTCAGAGTTAGGTAACTTTTTAGTGGCTATTCGCCACAAAAGTATTAATCTTAAACTAAGCTTATTAAATTATTAAAATCAAGCTTATTAAATTATTAAAATTAAGCTTATTAAACTATTAAAATCAAGCTTATTAAATTATTAAAATTAAGCCTATTAAACTTAAATTAAACTACTATTAATACTTTGTTAAACATAGATTTTAAACGCTTGTTTGCATAGCAATATAACAATATGAAAGTATGAATGTATGAACTACAGTACTGGACAATGAAATATGATATTTGAAAAACGATCGTCACTTTCGCGCGTCTGTAACTCCGTTGTCTTTGAGTTTCAACTATTAGTGTTATACATTTTCTGAAAGCTCTTTTCAAGGGCTACACAATGGTAATATTAATATTTAGAAATACGGTAAAGACAAGGGGGTTACAGACGCGCGAATGTGATGATCTTTTTTCAAATATGATATTTCGTTATCCAGTAGTGTATAAGCTAGCGGAAGTATTATCTCAAAATAAATAACATTAAGTAGATTTAGTTAATTGAGACGTTAAAGAGAGACGAAACATTAAAAGAGACGAAATAGTGAAATCTTTAATAGCTAGTATTACTATCATTCTAATAGATAGATCAATTTAAAGGTTTTTAAAGAAAACTAGGATATAGCAATAAGCAGTGAGTGTTTCAAAGAAAAAAAACCAAAAGAAATCTTTCTAGCATTGTTCTTGCATCACTCAAACATAAATAAAGTTATTTAATGCTATAAAATGTTCAATAAACTTTCAAATTGATGTTCAGAATTGAAATTGACAACAGAATGAGAATGGCCAACAGAATGGCCAACAGGATGGCCACCCGCCCACCTTTCTACATGACCTATTAGAGAAAGGTGTGATGTCAATGGCAAAAAAACAAATCCGAAGTGATACTTAGCCGAACGAACGGTCGACTCAAGTGAACAGCTCGAAAAGGGGAAGCGATTGCACGTCACAAATGGCGGATCCAAGCACTACTTGGATGGATGTACAGAAAAGAATGGAAAAGGAGCACGCAAGCCTAGAGAATAACAATGGATGGGAAATGGACTGACTGAAAACTGACTAGGTGAAGTGAAGGACTACGTGTATTCAACAATACCCCTTTCCAATACCCATGGACCCGTCTCTCTTTCCATTTTCTTTTCATTCATTCTGAATTGTTTCTCGGTGAAACAATTGTACAAACGATATACAAAGGTGTTTCTTGAAGGGAGGAAAAACTGGATTTTAAAGGAAATTTTAAAGGAAATTTTAAAGAAAATTTTAAAGGAAATTTTAAAGGAAATTTTCAGACAAGGCTTATTGTTTGACAAGGCTAAATTGTTATACTTTTAAATCTCTCTATTGTTTAATATAGTATCGATTCGATATTTTGTGTGTCAAACCTAAATTCGATTTTTTTTTCTTTTTTTCTTTAATTTGATTGAATTACTCAAGTTTTAGAGTTTTTTGATGACTGTATTGGCTTGGAAATGTTCAATAAAGTAAAATAATGTTCAATAAAGTAAAATAATGTTCAATAAAGTAAAGGAATGTTCAATAAAGTAAAGGAATGTTTATTAAAGTAAATAAAGTAATAATAAAGTTGTTCAAAAAGTAATAATTGATTTGAATTCTCCATTCCAGAATTTCAGGTTATAAATTTTCAAATCTACAGTTAATATATTAGGTTGTCCAATAAGTAATGCGTGTTACTTATTTCGATGTTACTCATCGAAACCAGCTTCATTCTATTATGACGGACTTCACTCTTTGCTCGGACGATGGAGAAATGTTGTTGATTGTTGTGGAGAATATATCGATTAATAAAGTTCTCTTTTGTTAATTTTGTGATATTTTGAAAATCGTGTCAAAACACGCATTACTTATTGGACAACCTATTAGGTTGATGCAAAAGTCTTTTTCATTTTTTTCGTACTTCCGTTAAAAAGTAACAAATGCACCAATTGAACAACGGTTTATTGCATTTGAAAGGCCAATTATTTTTCTGCAAAATGACATTAAAACGAGTTTAACATGTCTTATGTCTAGATTTTTTTTGAGAGTCTGAAATCGGGTAGTCAAAAAAGGCGACGGCTCGATGATGCATTTTAGACGCTTTAGCTAAGGAAACCAATCTTGATGTTAATAAATAAAGATAGAGCACAAAAAGTTAGATATTTTTTCAGATTTTCAGAGAAATTGATTCAGCCAATTTCTTTATAGAGGTTTTTATAGATTTTTATGAAAAACCCGTTTTCACTCTCGAATTTGCTTGAAAGTGAACCCAAATTGACTTAAAAAGATGGGAAATTCAACAATAAGGAGCACGTGTGGCTGACTGGTTAAGTGTCTTTTATCTTAATCGGAAGGTCGAGGGTTCGAACCCCACATGCGACATGGTCACCCCCTTCGGATTTCCTTTCCCTTCGGGTTGAGAGGTTTTCTGGAGGGCAGTCTGGTGGTTGTGGCCCCAGTTCTTTAAAGTGACAAGCCACTCCTTCATCGTCATCTTCCCTTCACCACCAAAAAAGCTATTTAGTTCCCCATTGAGCTTAGGGTTAGGGAGCCGTCTGTCATGACGTGGGTTAAGTTAAGATATAGCCTAGTATTGTGTGTGTCGTTGTATTGTGATTCATATATTTCGTGCATGCGATAAATTCACCACTGGTAGCCCCAGTCGGTATTTTTTAATAAACACTTTTCATTTAGAGTAAACCATATGTTAATTGATGACTTTGTTATTTTTCAAAAGAAGTACGAAAAAAATGAAAAAGACTTTTGCATCAACCTAATAATAGAGTCGTTTAAAACAAAAAAAGGATCAAAAAGGACTTTTTTGTGAATGTATTAGAAATTATGCAATATTTTATATAGGGTGACCAAGAATTACCGCAACACACAAAAGCCTAAGCCTAAACCAGCCGGCTTTTAACCAAATATGCAACCCATCTCGAAAGGTTTACTTAGAAAGTTAGTAATCATACCATAAAATAAGAAAAATACACAAAACCATAAAAATAGATAAACAAAAAATGAAATGGAGCTCATAACATAATACGACGTTGTTGCGGTAATTCTTGGTCACCCTGTACATCAGAGAAAATAAATCAAAAGCAATAATAAAAGAATGAAATGAAATAAAGCTTTGGGTAATGAAAGAATAATTTACAATCAAAAAGGAGAATCCTTTTTCAGATCCAAACCTCGAAGATGCCAATGTGGAGTGTTTGGCAGAATTTCTTGCCAATTTCTTGCCGAGAAGAGTTTGTTTTCTCTTTTTTCCCTTTTTCAAAAAAAACCGCACCAATCGGCCTATTGTTGGGGAATTCCGGAGATGAGAACACAAGAAAGAGATAGAGAACATCCTCTCTTTCTTTCTCAATTCATTTGTCTTTTCTCAATTTTCTTTTCCCGTGAAATGTACCCGTTTCTTCTTTTCCTCTCTCCGATCTTTTTTTTCTTTTTCTCTTTTCCCTCTTTTCCAAACTCCAAAAAGCCTTATGTCCCATCTTTTGCATCAAAACACGCACTTTTGCAACCAATTCCCAACTCCAATCATTCAGCAAATATGCAGAAATTCTTGACAATCTTTGTAAGCTTAATGTAAAGCTGACAATTAGAAAACTTGGCTTATTGGTCAGTTCAGAGTTTTGACTTGAGTCTGATTGTTTAAGCAGAAAAGAAAACGATACTTCTTTTAGAGCCGTTTCATTCAAATCCGCTTATTCTTGATTGATCATAAGCATTTTGAAACTTTTAAAGTTGATCAGAGCTCGGCTAACTGTTGAAGATCAAAAAAAAATCAAAAAGGACTTTGTTGTGAATGTATTGGGTTGGTGAATTGAAAACTGGAAAAGCCTAAGCCTAAGCTCGAGCAGTTACCGCCAAGCTTTACCTAAAGTTATAAGCTTAAAGCCTAAAGTTTAAATTGATAAAATTTCGAAAACTGGATTTGATTGATTGATTTTAATGGGTTGGTGAATTGAAAACTGCGGGCTATTGTCATATGTGACAGTTTGAGCACTTTATTCAAAAGAAACCCATTTTGGTGTCAATGGAAAAGTTGTAGAGAATCAAAAATCAAGCTTATATCCAAATTTTCAGAACGATTCAAAAACTGGTTTTCAAGAAATGCCAAATTTACGAATTTTCACAAAACTTGCAACAAAACTTGCATTTTAAGCGAAACTACTAAGTGTATCTTTTTGGAAATTTGGCTATAAGCCTAATTTTTGATTCTCTACAACTTTTCTATTGACACCAAAATGGGTTTCTTTTGAAGAAAGTGCTCAAATGCTCAAGCTGGGACATCTCCAGTCCTCCAGTCCTCTCACACTTGTCTCACACACAAACCAAAATCCTACTACGAAAGAGGAATCCGCAAATTGTCTGTAAAATGGGCAGAAGTCGTCAATAATAATGGAAATTATCTGGAATGAATTGATGGTTTTATGCCGAATAAATTTTAGTTCAAAGTCCCGCAGTTTTCAATTCAACAACCCAATATTAGAAATTATTCAATTTTTACTAATGATCAATATGATCTATGGACAAGGTGTTGTGGAAGATCAATAGCGCTTTCTTTGATTGATTCTTGATTGATCTTCCTGATTGGTGATTCAAAGCATTTTGAAACTTTCAAAATTTGACTACAGATTTCCCAGGTACAGATTTGACTACAGATTTCCCATACAACAAGAGTACACGACCTCGTGACGCCACAAAGGATTTGCAAATTTTGTGTCTGTTTTTTGGGGCGAATTTGAAATGCTGTTTCCTCACTGATGATACATTGCGTTCAACGGAACACCAAATGGGGAAAGCTTATAAATTCCCAGCTTATAAATACCCCGTGATCATTCAGAAACCATCACAAATGTGAAATCAATGACTTTTAAGTCAGAGTCAAAGTCAAAGTCAATTTTGAATCAACTCTTTTGAAATTTTTTTGAAAAATCATTTCATTTTCATTATTTTCTCTGTCTTGTGAAAGATTTAAAGCTTTTCAGTCTTCTGGGAAAGCTTTTCAATAGTAACTTTCAGCACGAATGTTCACGAATGCTGTGATTCAATTTATGGAGATCGGAATCATGATTGTCAGACCAAGAGAGGTAGAAAAAAGCTTCTATACTCGACATCGTATCATACTTGGTGCTTAAATCTGTAAACAAATCCTTTCTGGTACACTGAATTCTTCATTTTCTTATTTAGATAAGCAGGAAATAGAAATTGAAGCCAGGAGTAGAATGAGCTAAATTTGAAACAATAAAACAACAATAAAACAATAAAACAAAACTTTTTTAACGACTTAGCATTCGTTTTCAGGATCACAACACACCAAAGATGTCTCGAAAAGTCTCAAAAGGTATTGCATGTCAATTAAAACTAAAATTTACATTTATCTATTTAAAACTAACGACTCTTTCTACTTTTTTCTTATCTTATCTAACTAAATACTGTAATAGTACCCCAGCTCCATAATGACGGTGCAGAGTGTTGCGTAGTCTAGCTTTGAACGAGTTTTTCTCGACACTGGTTTATGCTACAATGCTCGTTTAGGTATCAAAAAATAGCTGAAATTCAGGGTTATTTTTTGATACTAAAGACGCATTTTTTGAAAGTATGGGCGCTTTGAAAAAAAAATGAAATACTAAAAAACTTTTGCGACTACGCGACTATACGAGGGGGGTGGGCTAATATTACAGTATTTACGGTATATATTTCTCACCAATATCTTGTCTTATCTAACTAAATACATACCGTAAACACTGTAATAGTACCGCACCCCCATAATGACGGTGCGGAGTGTTGCGTAGTCTAGCTTTGAAAGCGTTTTTCTCGACACTGGTTTATGCTACAATGTGCGCTTAGGTATCAAAAAATAGTTGAAATTCAGGGCTATTTTTTGATAAGAGACTTTATTCTTTTAAAATAACAATTCAACTGTTACTTAAAAGGCTTTTTGAAAGATTTTTCTTTAAAAACAGGTTCATTTTTTTGGAAGTCGGGGGGGGCTTTGAAAAAAAATGAAATACTAAAAAACTTTTGCGACTACGCGACTGTACGAGCTATTACAGTATTTACGGTAATAGCTTTTGCATCCAAATCACCGCTAATATTGACAACTTGAAGCATATCTGGCCCCTTTGTCCCAGTCACGAGGGGGATGGGGTACTATTACAGTATTTACGGTATATATGTCGTAGCCGATTATGAATGAGCGGGTCCAGACGCGTCCAACCATCAAGTATTTGGTATCATTCAACGCAGAATCATTAATAATTATGTTAAATTTTTAAAATTAGAAAGATTTGATAAAAAGAAAAAAAATTAGAGCAAAAAAACTGTTTGTTCAAGAGGAAACTTTGAGGCCCCATTATTTTTTTCTTTTTATCCAATCTTTCTAATTTTAAAAATTTAACATAATTATTAATGATTCTGCGTTGAATGATACTAAATACTTGATGGTTGGACGCTCCTAGACCCACTCATTCATAATCGGCTACGGGGGTCCCGCCGATTTTGAATGAAACGTTGTAGCGCCGGTAATTGTTAACCTAAACTCACGAATTTGGTACCAATCGACGTAGAATTTAATTCGCTACAGGATGATATAATATTGTCCTCATACATTAAAGGGTTGCTCTACTAGAAAGATTTACCAAAAAATTTCATTCATAATCGGCTACGACATATATTTCTCACCAATATCTAACTAATTACTAATTATCTTATCTAACTAACTACTTATCTACTTTTTTTTCAGAGACGATCCCGAAAAAACCCAAGAAAATGACGAGAGAAAAGCTAAAAATGTGGAAAAGTATATCGTAAACTTTTCTATATATTTTTATGTTTAAAATCATTTGTAAATAAATGTTTATTGAATGAATATTTTTATTGAGTTACTTTTATATACGAAACTTTAATGGTTTATGTGTTTTATGCACCAATATTACATTAAAGTTGAGATCTTTGAGTGTGGTGAGATGAAAGGCAAAAATCACGCAAATGGTGAGATATTCAGATAAACAGAAGAGCTCGTATGCTGGAATTGTTGACATTTTCATTCTTTAATGCATTTCAAAAAACTGTTTCTTGTTTAAAATAGAAAAAAGTAACGAGTTCAGAAAGATTTACAAAAATTCAAATTATTAAAGAAAACTAGAGTAAATTCATGGGAGTGGGACAAATGCGACCTTTTTTTGCGCACCCGGACATTTGCGCACCTTTTTTTCCGCACTTAGCCCATTAGCGCACCTTTTTTCGCGTTTTAAAAAACTCTAAAAGCTAATATTAACAAAAAAAGCTTAAAAAAAAGCTCTAAAAGCTAATATTAACGAATTTCTATTCCAAAAGTTGTTTTTCTAGGTAATTTTAGAGCGTAGAATCGAAATTTTGGCATATCAGAGCTTGTGGAAGCGAACGGACGGGGTTATACAAAGAGAAAAATCAACAATTTTCTGTAATTTGACTTAGCCGTTTTGTCTTTCAAATTGTCTTTCAAATTGGTTCCACACGCTCTGTTGTGTCAAAATTTGAATTCGACACCCTCAAATTACCTAGAAAAACAACTTTTGGAATAGAAATTGGTTAATATTAGCTTTTAGAGCTTTTTAAAGCTTTTTTTGTTAATATTAGCTTTTAGAGCTTTTTTAAAACGCGAAAAAAGGTGCGCTAATGGGCTAAGTGCGGAAAAAAAGGTGCGCAAATGTCCGGGTGCGCAAAAAAAGGTCGCATTTGTCCCACTCCCAACTTCACATCTTTTTAAAGAATATTTTACGTTTTTATTTTTATAAGAGACTTTATTCTTTTAAAATAACAATTCAACTTTTAATTAAAAGGCTTTTTGAAAGGTTTTTCAATTAAAAACAGGTTCAAATAGATGAACGCGATGACAGTTTGCCTCCAGCGCACTACAATGTTTCTTTGACTTCTCTAGAGAGCTAGGTGGTTCAGATCGGGATGATTTAGGTGTAGAAATGTTTCCCAGAATTTCAGCTTTAAAATACTATATAGTAAGTCGTATTTCGATCTGGGTTTTAGCTGTAAAATCGAGGTTCTTTTGGAAAGTGTGCGCGAACTTTTCGATACAGCCCTTTATTTTGTCTTTTCTTGCTTTAGAGCTAAAAGTCATTAAAGTCATTAATGTCATTAATGTTAATTGTGCCGAAAAGTAGCTCTTTTCTGTGAAATCTTATTTGAGGCTTTGATTTTGAATATCTCCGATTCTCTTCTCCTTCCTCTAATATCAATCGTTGGTTTGTGTGATAACGGAGCCGAGAGACGGAGCCTACTTTGTATTCTTTTTCGTTTGGCTTAAATAAGTATTAAGTTTAATTGTTAAGTTCTCAATGCTGTCATTTTTTATAGATGTTGCATTGGTGATAGTCTTAACCCCTTTCATTTACCATTTACCTTCCTCTAAAGATCGTTTGTGTGATAAAAAGGGAACGGAGCCCACTTTGGATTGCTTTTCTTTGGCTTTGACACACTGAACCAACGATTGATTCTATTTTATTGTATTTTCTCGCTAGATTAGTGATTGTGCTATATTCGGTATAAATATCTAAATATCTATAAATATCTAAATAATCATTGCCCCATCGGTACCCTCTCACTGCACAATAATAATCATTTTTAGATTTTTGCTTGAATTCAATTTCTGTACCAGTTTACCACGTTTTCCCAAAAAGAGCTTAGAAATTGGAAATTCGATTTAAAACTTTCAAATAAACTCACTGAATCGAAGACATTTGAGGAAATAAACAAAGAAAAGTGCGAAAACGATTGGCAAAAGTAAAGTGAGCACGAAAATCAATGAGATTTTCTGTTTAAGATCGCGTTTAGCCTAAACATTTCATTATGAATTGTGTATTTTACCCTTTTTACAATCAAGAATGCCCGGAACCAGATTCGAATCTCTACACAAGCATACAAAGAACAAAAAGATGACTACTATGGACTACTATGGGCTACTAGGGACTACTATGGACTACAATGGACTACGATGGACTACTATGGACTACTATGGACTACTATGGACTTCTATGGACTACAATGGACTACGATGGACTACAATGGACTACTATGGACTACAATGGACTACAATGGACTACTATGGACTACATTGAACTACTATGGACTACTATGGACTACAATGGACTACTATGGACTACAATGGACTACTAGGGACTACTATGGACTACTATGGACTATTATGGGCTACTATGGACTACTATGGACTACTATGGACTTCTATGGACTTCTATGGACTACTATGGGCTACAATGGACTACGATGGACTACAATGGACTACTATGGACTACAATGGACTACAATGGACTACTATGGACTACATTGAACTACTATGGAATACTATGGACTACAATGGACTACTATGGACTACAATGGACTACTAGGGACTACTATGGACTACTATGGACTTCTATGGACTTCTATGGACTACTATGGGCTACTATGGACTACAATGGACTACGATGGACTACTATGGACTACTATGGACTACTATGGACTATCTATGGCCTATCTGTGGATTGTCTATTGGAGTGTCGCGTAGTCGTTCTTTGTATGTTTATGTAGAGATTGGGATTTGGATCCGGATATCTCTGGTTACAATCCCGACAAACCTTTTCACGATTTTTTTCATAATAATCGCTACTTCGACAAATATATGTCAACGAAACGCAATAAAAATAAGTAAAACCAATGAAAAAGCAAAAGAATATCGTGTGCAGATCTGAAAATTTGATCGATTTTTTGCTTTGAAAATTTCAAACCAAACACTTACTTCCATTCTCTCGTTCTCCAACTAATGTTAAAGCAAGTAAAGAAACGTTTTGAGAGATTCCAGTGAAAAGAGAAACTCTTGCCATTAATTTTCTCAACGGAGCTTCAATGTAGTTTGAGAATTTCAAATCTACAATTTGATTAGTTTATTTGATTAGTTTTGAACTCGAGTTTTGAACTATTTATTGAATATAAATCGATTTTCTTATCATTATTCATCAGCCGAAAATCTTTGAATTTTGTTTGAATCCGAACAAAACCTGACCGCGCAACTTTGCGTGCTTAGAACTCCGAAACTAGTGGGCCAATTTTGAATATTTTGATGTCATTTTGTAGAGCAAGACTTTTGTAGAGCACGACTCCTAAATTGAAGTTACATTTGGAAAAAGTTCAGTTAGTAAAGAAATATGAAATTATCTTTTTTCAAATGTATCTTCACTTTAAGAATCTACATATCTTGCTTTGATTTTATGTAATTAGTTTGGATTCGGACGCGAGCTCAGCTTCCAGACGCGAGCTCAGCTTCCAGACGCGAGCTCAGCTTCCAGACGCGAGCTCAGCTTCCAGACGCGAGCTCAGCTTCCAGACGCGAGCTCAGCTTCCAGACGCGAGCTCAGCTTCCAGACGCGAGCTCAGCTTCCAGACGCGAGCTCAGCTTCCAGACGCGAGCTCAGTTTCCAGACGCGAGCTCAGCTTCCAGACGCGAGCTCAGCTTCCAGACGCGAGCTCAGCTTCCAGACGCGAGCTCAGCTTCCAGACGCGAGCTCAGAACAGAACATCTATATATAGTAGATTGAGCATTTACCTAGCTCACCACTAGCCAACTAATTTAAAACTCACTGTTAAAACTCAAGCTCAGATTCAACATTACAAAGGTAATTTTCCGGGTAAAGCAATATGTACAAGGCTGGGTCAGAAACCCGATCGAATATTGGCTTGGCTTTGCTTTGTCTAGCTATACTGCTTTTGTCTGGCTTCAATCAACGGCAAGTCTACTAGGATCAATTACTGTACTATCAGATATCAGATAATACTATCAGGATTTCTTTTCATACTCCTGTTGTCGACTACCTTGAAGCACTTAGTCAAATATCTTCAAACTCACAGTTCAATACCATAATCATCGCACTGAACACGAAGAATGGAATCATAAGAAATTCCCAAAAAGTCCTCGTTAATCTCAAATTCATCAAACGTGAAATCGCAGGCAGATAGACTTTCTAAGATATTGATATTTCTAAGATCTGAGTCAGCTTGTGACGACTGTCATCGAAAATTCAGATTATGGATATTCAGCTTAGTTTACTAAGCTGAATATCCATAGTTGTTGCTTCTATTAGAGGCTGTGCTTCTATTAGAATAAATACGGTAGTTTAAATTACCGTATTTTCTCTAATAGTAGTGCACCCTGAGCGTTGCCTAAATTGCTCGAAATCTCGAGAACCGCTTATCAGAACCTATCGATGTGGGGTCGGAAAATGTAGCTGACGATGAGATCTAGTGGGGGATTAAAGTGTTGAGCTTCTGCAAAAGCTTGGAAACCGTAAAATTGTCATCAACTTGGCTCAGCGGGGTGCACTACTATTGGGTTGGTGAATTGAAAACTGCGGGACTTTGAACTAAAATTTATTCAACATAAAACCATGAATTCATTCCAAATAATTTCCATTATTATTGACGACTTCTGCCCATTTTCAGGCAATTTGCGGATTCCTCTTTCGTAGTAGGATTTTGGTTTGTGTGTGAGACAAGTGTGAGACTCAAAAATGGAGGACTGGAGATGTCCCAGTTTGAGCATTTGAGCACTTTCTTCAAAAGAAATCCATTTTGGTGTCAATAGAAAAGTTATAGAGGATCAAAAATTAGGCTTATAGCCAAATTTCTAAAAAGATACACTTAGTAGTTTCGCTTAAAATGCAAGTTTTGTTGCAAGTTTTGTGAAAATTCGTAAATTTGGCATTTCTTGAAAACCGGTTTTTGAATCGTTCTGAAAATTTGGATATAAGCTTGATTTTTGATTCTCTACAACTTTTCCATTGACACCAAAATGGGTTTCTTTTGAAGAAAGTGCTCCAACTGTCACATATGACAATAGCCGGTAGTGTTCAATTCACCAATCAAATATTAGAGAAAATACGGTAGCTATTAACGTATAGATCTTTCCTCACTCACCCCGCATCCCCATTTATATCCGATGACGTCATTTGGAGTGAAAATGAATGACAAAGAGAATATGAGGAAAAACGAGAAAATTGGTAACAAAATGGTGGCAAGTTTTATCCGAAAATTTTGAGAAAATTCTAGAATTTAAAAGAATTTCCTACCTCTTTCCAGAGATGAAAACGATCGGTGAAGAGATTCGAATCGGATGGAAAATCAATGCTTGAGAGTCCATAAAGATTTGTAGAATTGAAATTAGTTTGATAAAACAAAGTAAAGACAAAACTTGATAGTGAAAATGACAATTTTTGTGATCCTTTCCCGAGGGAGTTCCTCAAATTTTCACGAGAAAACAAAGGAAATCTCGCAATTTTCCTCTTTTCCTCTTTTGCAATTTCCTTTTTTTTTCATTTTCTTTTGTTTCCATATTGTCTAATTGTCTAATCACTTTATTGTTTTGTTTTGTGTAAACTATTTTTAATATTAATATTCATAAGCTAGTGGTAAAAAGCTAGGGGTAAAAAGCTAGGGGTAAAAAGCTAGGGGTAGAAGCTAGTGGTAAAAAGCTAGTGGTAGAAGCTAGTGGTAAAAAGCTAGGGGTAAAAAGCTAGGGGTAGAAGCTAGTGGTAGAAGCTAGTGGTAAAAAGCTAGTGGTAGAAAGCTAGGGGTAAAAAGCTAGTGGTAGAAGCTAGTGGTAAAAAGCTAGTGGTAGAAGCTAGTGGTAAAAAGCTAGTGGTAAAAAGCTAGGGGTAAAAAGCTAGTGGTAGAAGCTAGTGGTAAAAAGCTAGTGGTAGAAGCTAGTGGTAAAAAGCTAGTGGTAGAAGCTAGTGGTAAAAAGCTAGTGGTAAAAAGCTAGGGGTAAAAAGTTAGTGGTAGAAGCTAGTGGTAAAAAGCTAGGGGTAAAAAGCTAGGGGTAGAAGCTAGTGGTAGAAGCTAGTGGTGTCAGCAATTCATCTATTAGGCTGACCAGAAAGTCTTGCGTTCTTTTTCGCACTTCTGTTTGAAAAACAACAAGTGCATCAATTGAATTATGATTTGTTTCATTAAAAACGCCAATTATCTTTCTACAAAATGACATTAAAACGAGTTTAAAAGTGTCTTTTTTTAAAAATGTCTTATTTTTGAGAGCATGAAAGACGAAAAGAAACGAAAAGAAACGAAAAGTCAACAAAATGTCAATAAAAATTTCAACTAATCAACATGAACTTCTTTTCTAATAAATTTAAGTACTCAATAAACACTTTTAAATAAATTTTATTTCAAAAACTCGCATAAAACAAAGAAAGAGATACAAATTTAAAGCAAAATGGCAAGATCAAATAATCAATTGAAGCAATTAAAGCAACTTTAAGACAAGAAAAACCTTTTTTTAAAGCTTTTTAAGCAAGAAAAACCAACTTCTTCTTTTGATATGTCGATGAAATTGAGAATAGAAATGAGATTCCAAAGGATTGATTGGATAATCGAGAAATTTTTAATAGAGAAAATGTTTTAAGCATTAAAAAAAACGGTTTTTCAAGGTTTAACCACCATTTTCTCGTGAACATCCAAAGACCCAACCACCTGAAAAATGTTGCTAAATGTTGCTAAAAGTTGTGAAAGATTTTGTTTTAAAGAAATGACAATCGCAAAAGGACTGAGCGAACGTTTAAGCTCAATGTAAATCCACCCTTTCTAGCGTGCTTAATTCCCCCCATTTTCTCAAGTAAAATGAAGAACTGAGTGAGCAGGATTAGATAGCAGATTAGAAAGGATTCGATGCTAAATAGTTTCTACATTATAGTTTGATCCGTTTTGATGCTCGAAAAAACCGTAACTAGTGCACTTAATTACCCCATTTTCTCAAGTAAAATGAAGAAAACTGTGTGAGCTAAAAAGGATTTGTTTAATCTAGTAACGATCTAGTAAGGATTTGTTTCTAGTAAGGAGTAACAAATCTAGTAAGGATTTGTTTTTTTTGAGCATCAAAACGGATCAACTATTAGGTAAATGCATAAGAAATGCGGATTTCAACATTTCAACATTTCAACATTCATTTCCAATGATAGAAACCTGATATCGATGAATGTTATAAACTATTTGAAAGTTATAAATCTCCTCTACAAAATAGACTAAAACGTGTTTCAATTGATCAAAGCGTTGAAGAAATTTCGAGGGCGAAATGCGAGTGACCAAAAAAGGATCGAAGTCAGAATCGAGTCACTTTAGGGACAAGTTTAGTGTGCTCAAAATAGAGTTAGCTTCCCAAGATTGAAGATTTAAAAAAAGAAAGGATAACTATATATGAATTCATTAAAAAAGTCTAACGGAACAACATTTACTTATTTAGATTTAGTTCAAAAGTTCAAAACCCTCAAAATTCTCAAAAAAAAAACGGCTTTTTCACAAAAAAAAAATTATTGTAAAAACAAAGTTTTCCCATGAAATGATCCCAACTCTTAATTATTTTGAATGATTTGGCGCTCATTTTTCACTATATAGTCAAAACGGAACTCTTGTGAAAGTGGGGTTTGCAAAAAGTGCCCTTTTTTGGTCGCTCGCATTTCGTCCTCGAAATTTCCTCAATGCTTCGATCAATTGAAAGACTTTTTCTAATGAATTCATATATAGTTATCCTTTTTTTTTAAATCTTCAACTTTGGGAAGCTAACTCTATTTTGAGCACACTAAACTTGTTCCTAAAGTGACTCGATTCTGACTTCGATCCTTTTTTGGTCACTCGCATTTCGCCCTCGAAATTTCTTCAACGCTTTGATCAATTGAAACACGTTTTAGTCTATTTTGTAGAGGAGATTTATAACTTTCAAATAGCTTATAACATTCATCGATATCAGGTTTCTATCGTTGGAAATAAATGTTGAAATGTTGAAATGTTGAAATCCGCATTTCTTATGCATTTACCTAATATAATGTAGAACTATTTTGCATCTAATCAATTAAATCTGCGATTTAAAATTCACCATTATGTTCTTAGAATCGATTTTTTAAACTCATCAATTTGTTTTCGTCAATATATTAACTATTTTTGTTTAAGAACTTACAGTTCATGTTAGGATAATGATTGCATAATTCTTAGCTTCTCAATTCCTAGCTTCTCAATTCCTAGCTTCTCAATCCTTAGCTTCTCAATTCCTAGCTTCTCAATTCCTAGCTTCTCAATCCTTAGCTTCTCAATTCCTAGCTTCTCAATTCCTAGCTTCTCAATCCTTAGCTTCTCAATTCTTAACTTCTCAATTCCTAGCTTCTCAATTCTTAGCCTCTCAATTCTTAGCTTCACAATTCCTAGCTTCTCAATTCTTAACTTCACAATTCTTAGCTTTAACTTGTTTTTAGCTTCTATTTTCAACTTTTCGTTCAATTATTGTCAAATCTTTGTTTCTAAATAAACAAAATAATTCATCAAATTCAAGAAAAGAGTTTTCTTTTAAAGTTTACGATCAAAAGTTAGTTAATAAATCTCGAGTAAACCATTTTGAACATTTTTGACCATTTTTGACCATTTTGACCATTTTTGATCATTTTTGACCATTTTAACTACATTTTTCCGTTTAAAGATCACTTTTTTTGTCTCTTTTTCAAATAATAAACTTTTATTAACTGTTCTTCGTCGAAATTTGCAAATTTTAAGTCAATTAGCGAAAAGAAAAAAAAAGTAGAGCCATAGAGAGACACAGGGCACAACAATCACATGAAAATAGTAAGTTAGGGAAAATTCTTTATTTCACAAAAAAAAAACAAATAGACATTGTGATATAAAATTTTCAAGATTAGAAAGAAAACCACACAAAGCAGCACAAGGTTTTTTGTTTGTTTATTTGTTTGAAAGAAGAATAGAGTCTGGCATGCATTGGCGAGTGATGAGAGGGGAAGGGAAGAGGAAGGGAAGGAGAAGAGGAAGAGAAAGGAGAAGGGAAGGAGAAGAGGAAGAGGAAGGAAAGGAAAGAAAAGGAAAGAAATGACAAGAAAAGACAAGAAAAGAAAAGATAAATGACAAGAATGAATGGATTTTACTGGAATCAAAGAAATCAATTAACTTGTTCATTGGGTGTACTTGTGCTCGACGTAAACGCACCCTTCTGATGCATTACTTTTCTCCCCGTTTTTCGCATTTCCGCAAAAAAACGAAAGGATTCAATGCACCAGAAATAGGTTTACAGATTTGAGCACAAATTACACAGTTAACAGTAAGTTCAAAGTTTTACAATGGTTTGACTTTGGGGAGAGATTTTCGAGTCTAGTAACTTGGCATGAAAATGCTAAGTTACCCTGTCCGTCAGTCAGAGCTGACTCTAGATCTGGCTAGCTGATTGTAGCCTGTCTTTTTGCCTGCTTCGAACATAACTACCGTCTTCTCTCTAATAGTAGCGCACCCTGAGCGTCGCTTAAATTGCTCAAAATCTCGAAAAGCGCTTATCAGAACCTATCGATGTGGGGTCGGAAAATGTAGCTGCCGATGAGATCTAGTTGAGAGATTAGAGTGTTGAGCTTCTGCAAAAGCTTGGAAACCGTAAAATAGTCACCAACTCGACTCGCCGGGGTGCACTACTTTTAGAGAAAACGGTAGTTCATTGCCATCTCCCTAAAAATCAAACCACATAATCAAACCAAAGAAAACCTATAAATTGAAAAAGATCTTTAAAAGCCAGAGATTTATGCTACTTTTGGAATGATTTGTGAAATCTTTTCGTCATTTTTTTCTTTCTAAAATTAAAGATTTCAACATTATTTTTTGGTCTTCAATTGGACTAGAAAAGGAAATTCGAAAAGAAGTTGAGGAGATTGTAAAATAAAAGTTTAAAAAAAAATCATATAAACAAAAAAAGGACATAAAGCAGAATCGCAAAAAAAATGATAGATATCGACAATTTTTTCTCTAAATATTCTCCAAAACCATCTTCTTGTGCACTTCGGTGTGCTCGACTACCTGAATTGTTTCCGCCGTTGTTGTTGTTTTTTTGTTTTTGTTTTTTTTTTGCGATGACTTTAATCATTGATTATTACCTATCGCCTATTGGTTATCTTTCTGAATTTTTGAATCAATTTGCTTATTACCTATTGCTTATTGGTTATCTTTCTGAATTTTTAAATCAATTTGCTTATTACTTATTGCCTACTGGTTATCTTTCTGAATTTTTGAATCAATTTGCCTATTCCTTATTGCTTATTGGTTATCTTTCTGAATTGTTAAATCAATTTGCCTATTACTTATCGCCTACTGGTTATCTTTCTGAATTTTTGAATCAATTTGCCTATTACCTATCGCCTACTGGTTATCTTTTTTAAATTTTTAAATTAATTTGCTTATTACTTATCGCCTATTTCCTATTAAATTAATTTAATTTAGCAAAAGCTACCTAATTACTTTAAAACAATGGAAACCTTACTATTTTTGCTAATCATTTTCAGAAAAAAAGCTAAACGATTGAATAGTTTTAAGCTTATCTAAAAGATTACTCTAGAAAAAAGAATTGCTTACTGTAAATACTCTAATAGTACAGTCGCGTAATCGCAAAAGTTTTTTAGTATTTTATTTTTCAGCACCCGTACTTTCGAAAGTCTCTTTGGTATCAAAAAATGGCGCTGAATTTCCACTATTTTTTGAGACCTATACGCGCATTGTAGCTTAAACCAGTGTCGAGAAAAACGCGTTCAAAGCTAGACTACGCAACGCTCCGCACCGTCATTAAGGGGCTGGGGTACTATTAGTTAACTATTAGCTAAGTTAACGCCCTCTGAAGTATGGGATACCAAGTGTGCTGTAATGGTTAGCACAATTGTCTAGTAAGCGAAAGGTCGAAAGTTCGACTCCCGGCAACGCACAAGCTTTTGATCCGCCCTAGTTCCAACTGCTAGACTACGCAACGCTCCGTCTGGAGTACTATTGCAGTATTTACGGCTTTACCACTGTAAAATCCCAGACAATTGTCTCACTGCAGTATGCCGATAAAACATCCGACAAACTCGGATATCTTTAGATCTTTAACCAAATGAATAATGTTAAAAGCATGCAGTCTTATGGCTGAATATTCTTATTTTGATTACTGTAGTCAGACAGAGTGGGAGTCTACAATACAGTACTCGATTTACGTCTACAATACATTACAATACAGTATTAAGTGTAAATTACAGTACTCTGATTAAGAAATAGAAGTTCCTCTGAAGTGAATCAGCCGAAACTCGAACAGATCACAAAACTTGTGCGTCGCCGGGACTGTGCTAACCACAGTTGCGTGGTAAGCGAAAGGTTTGGGATCTTTTCGAGTTCCGGCTGATTCACTTCAGAGGAACTTCAGAGGAACATTACACCAAAATGCACTTGATTTCCCTCACTCCAAAGGGAGTTAACTAAGCGTTTTAACTGATCCGTTTTAAAGTTAACTAATCGTTTTCGAAAACGTTTCCTCTTTCTACCGTAAACTTGTCTCTAATTTTTACCCAAATTCATCTATTTTTTAAACCACTCGATATCCTTTGTAAACCCACAGAATTAAACAAAAAAAAATAGATAGATTAGATAAAAATATAGACAAAATTACGGTAGAATGTGAAAGGGAATTTCTCAAGAAATTATTTGTAACGAATTTTTATATGATAGCTCTTGTCTAGCAGCTTGATAACTTTGAAATCGTCAAAAAATTATTTTTTTTTAAAACCACCAAACCACCAAAAAGCCGTAACCCAAAAACTGGTGCCCAAGTGCCAAAGTGCTTTTTTTTCTTTCTTTTTCAAACTGAATTTAAAAGGAAAGTCGAACAAAAATGGGAAAAATAAGGGAAAAATGAGTTGAAGAGAATTGTGGAAGAAGAAAATGAACCAAAATATAGAATCAAAAACAAAAAAAGAAAGAAATTTAATAATTCTAGCATGCAAAGCTTTAAGTGATACATAAAGTGTTTGTAAGCGGAAATTCTTTTCAAGCAAAGTTTGTGAGAAAGTTTTTTCATTAGAAGAAAAGTGCAGAAAAACGAGATTTTCTCTTTTCTTGGGACACGCTAGCGACAAGGACACCACTTTTGGAAGCTCTTTTGCGCGAAATGTAAATGAGGAATGGGAATCTGGCGAATATGTCAATTGGATATGTGTTATAACAATACGGTAACATGTTACCATATTTCCTCCGTAGGAAATACAGTAACATGTTACCGTATTTCCTCTAATAAACGCCCCCTCCCCTTGACCAACTTTCTCAGCCTCGTTCTCAGCCCCATTTTGCGATATTTTTATGTTTAATATATCAAAAGATAGAAGACATTAAGGGCTATTTTCTGGTGTATTAAACATAAAAATATCTCATAATGGGACTGAGAACCAGGCGTCTAAAGTTGGTCGAAGGAGGTTTTTTAGAGGAAATACGGTATATGCTAATTTCGCTTTTTGTATGCTAGATTTCAAGCCAGCTTAAAGCTTAAAGATTGTGACAAAATGGATTAAAGGGGGGGGGGGTATTAATCGCGGCCAGGTGACGATAAACATTTTTTTACGGCAACAACCTGTTTTTTTGTTTTAATATCGCTGATTTTATTATAAAAAAAAATAAAAATCACCCGGCTAGAGTGATTTGATGGGTTTACAAATTTTTGGAGACACTGCAAGGCTTGGAGAAAAACAAGATCGTCACTCATCAGCACAGTCTAGATCGATTGAGTTTTAATTGCAGATAAATTTAAAAAACAAAATAAAAAAGCACAAAAAGCAATAAAAATAAATTGTTAATCTATAATTCTTCCTCTTGCTCACTTTCATCTTCGCTCAAGTACAGCAGTTCGGCTCAAGTACAGCAGTACAAATCGGCTTCCTATCTTATCAATTTCCAGCGCATCTTCACCAAAAGTGACTGGATCTTCTCCATCGTAGGACGTCTTCAGCGCTTTGATTGACACAATTAGATCTTTTTTCATTTGTGGTCGCTTATGGTTTTAGTTTTCTCAAATAGGTGCCTTTTAGCTGAGGTGTCTGATGAGTGACGATCTTGTTTTTCTCCAAGCCTTGCAGCATCTCCAAAAATTTGTAAACCCATCAAATCACTCTAGCCGGGTGATTTTTATTCTTTTTATAATAAAATCAGCGATATTAAAACAAAAAAACAGGTGGTTGCCGTAAAAAAATTTTTATCGTCACCCGGCCGCGATTAATACCCCCCTTTAAGAACTTTGGGATGACCACAATGAAGCCTTGTGGAGGTGACAGCATAAGACTCAAAGCTTGAGTTCTGAGAACTTGTTCCTGAACTTGGGAAGCTGATCGTCACCCACTCACTTAAGGTTTCTCGTTGTATCGTTGTTGATGACGTTAATTTGAGTCCATATTGTTATTTAAAAGAAAACAAGCAATTTTGTGATGTTGAACATAAGCGGAAACAAAAAAAAGCGAAATTAGCATTTTTCTTAAGATATACTTTACGATTTCTTTCATCTCAACTGCTTCATGTGCAAACTGTAAACGCATCCTTTCTAGTGCACTCAATTCTTCATTTTCTCAAGTACAATGCGAGATATGACGAATTCAGTAGACTGGAAAGGATGTGTTTACATTTAAGCACAAAGTACAGCAAGAAGAAGATGCATAGTCTGACAAAATTCCCTCCTCGTTACAATACTTCAAATTTTTTTCACTTTGACAAAGAATTAGTTAAGCCGATCCTCTCTTGCACAAGCAATAAGCAAATTTTTCAGCTTTAGCTAGATTTTCAAAGCAATTTAAAACAATTGTGATCTTTTTCACTAAACAGATTCTAATTTACTTTATTTCCAAAAATAAACTCACGTCGCAGAACTCTTGAAACGAGATCTTCCCATCGCCGTCTTTATCGTGGAAAAGAATCGTCTTGTCGACGATTTGCTGTAGCTGGGTGTCCTTCAAATTATTCCCAACCATCATTTTCAGCACCTGAAAGCGCTTTTGAAATTGATTTTTGGTTACAAAATTGAATTGAATTTTTATAAAAGCTTCATTAAAAGATTTAAAGTCTTTAACGATTTTAAATCTTTTAATGAAGCTTTTATAAAAAAAATGAAGCAATTGATAAACAGCGAGTTTCAAGTTATTCAATCATGTAAAAGAACGTTTTCAAATAATCGGTCAATAGTTTTCTTTTGCTTTCATATATTTTATGGTGAATGGAAGGGACTAAAAAATTTCTCCGTAATATAAAGTGCCATTATACATAGCTTAGCGTCGACCGGGACCAAAATTCGATTTCGTTACAGGGTTTTCCAAAAACAAAGTCATTTCAGCGCGTTTTTTTCTCAGAATTTCTAGTGGCTTGTTGTAGTGCTGAAGTGAATATTTTGCGCGGGCAAATTTTTGATATTTTGCCACTTTTTCCCGATTTCATGACTTTCCTATACATGAAATTTCTGAACCATCATGGTCACCACCACCATGAGTTTTTTGCTATAAAATTAAAACTAACTTTCTACTGACATCGTGGTGCATAATAATATATACATGAAATACATGAAATACATGAAATACATGAAATTACATGAAATTTCTGAACCACCATGGTCATCACTGAGACTTTTGCCATAAAATTAAAACTTTCTACTAACATCATGGCGCATAATAAACACTATTAGGATAAATACAAATTTACACAAACCATGCACTTTATTGTTTTGCGTTTCCTTGGAAAAACGGGACACTTTTGAATTGAAGGTGAATTGAAAATCTCTTATGTACGACAGATTATCATATAATGTAGATGAATAAAGGGTTTGTTTGTAAACTAAGATCTAAAAATCTTATTTTACATATTAACTCTATTATGACACCACAATGCCAGTAGGAAGTTTTAATTTTATAGCAAAAATCTCATGGTGGTGACCATCGTGGTTCAGAAATTTCATGTATAGGAAAGTCATGAAATCGGAAAAAAGTGACAAAATATCAAAAATTTGCACAAAATATTCACTTTACAACAACCACCAGAAGCCAATAACAATTCTGAGAAAAAAGAAAAGAAGTCGCAATGAAGTGACTTTTTTTGGAACACTCTGTAGTTTTTTCCGCTAGATTTCCGCTACGCTATTAGTTACACAGTTATTATTATAATATCATTTTAATTAAACCTTTGAATTTACTTTTTTTTTACTTAAAGCACAATGGAGCGTAATTTTTTAGAAAAAGTGAAAGGTAACTGAGCATGAATTTTCTCGGCATCAAGGCATAAATTCCACTAGTTGCCAAACCCACTTGGAAAAGCTCTCCATTCGAAATGAAACCATCTCGATCCATGTCATAGATGCGGAAAGCAACTAAAAGTAGCAATGTTTTAAATGTTTCATAAACTATTGCCTGAGTTCAATAATTCAGAAATTTCACTGGTTTGATTTTTAAATGAAACATTCAATAATCAAAATTTGCAGCTCTTTACCCTTTTCCAAACTCACATTTCAGCTTTGTCGACTTGTCGCCCTTGACGCTGAATTGCGAGATTCCTTGTATGAATTCTAGAAGAATTTCAAATTTTAAATGTTAAAATTTTAATTTAAACCTCGAAAATCGACTTCCCCGTTTCCGTCCTCATCAAATATGTCAATGACACGCTGAAAAAGTGAAAAGGTTTCAAAATCGGACCTCTGATTTGAATGGGTTCAAAATTGAAGGTCTGATTTTGAAACCTTTTCACCAGAATAATGTTTTTCGAATTACTAAATTACTAAACAAATTATAATTTTAACAAAAATTCCTTTAAAAATGAAAAAAAGATGCATTTCTTTTGTTTGATAAACTTTTTGGTAACATTTTGATAATGTTTGAAATTCAATTAATAAAAAAGAGCGTAATTTCGAGATAAACCTTCCGCTAAGTGCTGAGCAAAACTAGAATTGTGCTTGATTTGATTAGATTTTGTCGAAAAATTGAATAAAAATTCTTTGTGAAAAGAGTTTTCTAGGTAAAAAGAGGTAAGAAGATAAAAGGTTTCAAAATCGGGCCTAATATATTAACAATGCATGGCTTGAAGCAAAATTTTCCTTTGTTCTCTCACCTGTACAAGCGGATTCTGTTGTAGTTCGGGCAATGACATGAACTCTTCGACGGACAACGAGCCTGACCCGTCGATGTCCAACTTTTTGAAGCGACGGGCTAATCGACGGATCTCGTAGGCATCAACTGGAAATGGAATTGGAAAATGGAAAATTTTAATTTCTTTAGATAGCTTTAAATTTAATTCAGTACTTTTTAAGCTTTAATCTTAATATTCAAAGAAATTTGAGGATTGATAGAATTGATAGAAAGACAAGAGTCCTTTTGGAGACTCTCTTAACTCCCTTTGGATTGGGAGGAATCAAGTACGTTGTGGTGTACTGGTTAGCATAGTTGCTTGGTAAGCGAAAGGTCGCGGGTTCGAGTCCCAGCGGCGCACGAGCTTTTGGTCTGATCTCTAATTTTCTCCAAAATTGAGTCATTGATAGAAAGACAAGAGTTAACTCCCTTTGGATTGGGAGAAATCAAGTACGTTGCACATCGGCGCGAAAATGCGTTTTCTATCGGATGTTTCTGGGAGTACTTTTTTTAGATGCGGAAAATTGTGCTGATTCCGAATCTGAAGGAATTTTTCAAATCCCTCTGACAGAAATTTTTTAAATTTAGCTTTAGCGGTTTTTTGGTCATTTTGTATGGGAAATTTTGTGGTACCCTGCAGTTTGGGGCTCGTAACTCGACAACGAGAGTCTAGAACCAAAAACGAAGGGATAAGTTTTATTCTAGAGACCCTTACGAACATTTTGATGCAAAATCATCAAATTTGCTCAACTCTACAAAAAATAAATTGCCAATTGAGTCATTGCCTTAACAAATAAACAAGAAATAAACAAGAAATTAAATAATTGTAAAAGAATTTTAAAAAATACACAAAATCTTCGAGAAATAAGATTTAAATTTAAGAATTAGCCAACAATTTTGTGTAAAACTTTTCTGAATTCATTTATCAGCAAAAAAAACTTACAATTACTGCACATTTCCATCGGCAAGCTGCTCTCGTTACCCTGAAAAATGAAGCATTTTTGAAAACACCTTTAAATATCTTTTAATAGCTGAATATCTATTATATAGCCAAATGTATTTTCGAAAAATGGCTTGAAGCAAAAAAAAGTGGTAACATGCCCACAAAAATCTGGCTTTTTCTCACCGTTATCACCTGGGTTGGCAATGGTTGCCGAGGGGAATTTTCTTTTTCTTTTCTTGTGTTTGTTTGTGTTTTTTAATGAGCAATTTGCTCATAAAATCCGTTTTTTGAATTGAATATTTCATTATCGGATTTGAAAACTTAAAAACTTAAAAACTCCGGTTTTTTTAAGATCAAAATAACCTTAGAAAACTTCTTAGCTAGCTTTTTTACTTGCAAAGCCGAATTAGCCAAATTTCTCGTTGAATATTTGGATTTGCATTTAAGAAAATGAGCTATTTAAGTTGTTATCTATTATTGTACTTTAATCTGTTTAATTTTTTTAAAAACAAACCATTTTTGGTGATGCTTTGCTGTGAAAGCGATGAGATCAAGAAAAAGGGGCGAATGAGGCGAATGGAGAGCAGAAGAAAGGATTTCAGATAATCTGAAAATTGAGAGAAATTATCATTAAATAATATTTGGATAATTTGAAACATTGAAAATGAAAGAGATTCTGTGAAAGTTTTTCAAAAGCTAAAGAAAAACGCTGCATTGAGAAAATTGCGAAAAACGCTGCAAAAGTCGATGCTTGAGTGATAATGTTGTGTTGTTGTGTTGTTTTATTGTTTTGTTGTTTTATCGTTGTGTTGTTTTGTTGTTTTATTGTCGTGTTGTCGTGTTGTTGTGTTGTTTTATTGTTGTGTTGTTGTTTTGTTGTTTTGTTTGTTGTTCTATTGTTGTGTTGTTTTGTTGTTGTGCTGTTGTGTTGTTTTCTTGTTTTCTTGTTTTGTTTGTTGTTCTATTGTTGTGTTGTTTTATTAAAACACATCTTTTACAGTTGTAAAGCAAGAATTTTTTAAAAATCAATGTTTTTGGGTAAGAATAGTACAAAAATGATGCGTTCCCTTGTTCGAAAAATTTAGATATTTAAATTTAGCTAATAGTCTCGAATTTGCATGAGGAAGCTGTAAAGAGAGATTACTGATAGTGAGATAAAGGTGATATTTTGAAGTTGCCTATTTTGAAACAAAATCTCCTACAAATCAAGCGATAAGCGATCTGATTTTGGAATTGAAGCTACAAAATGGATGTGAATATATTACGATTGAAGAATATGACTACATTTTCAACTTTAAAAATACATTTTATTGGGAATAAGCTTAAAAACAACTACAACCTACAATCAACACCTATTTACGAGTCATTGTTTACTAGAATGTGCCCTTTTCTGTCTTGTCCTAGTGTAGTCGGCCACATTTCAGCTATTTTCTTTCTATTTCTTTTTTTTCTTTATTTTTTTGTTCTATCTTCTTTATTTCTTTCTTTTCTTTCTTTTCTTCTTTTTTTTTTTTTTTTTTTTTTTTTTTTTTTTTTTTTTTTTTTTTTTTTTTTTTTTTTTTTTTTTTTTTTTTTTTTTTTTTTTTTTTTTTTTTTTTTTTTTTTTTTTTTTTTTTTTTTTTTTTTTTTTTTTTTTTTTTTTTTTTTTTTTTTTTTTTTTTTTTTTTTTTTTTTTTTTTTTTTTTTTTTTTTTTTTTTTTTTTTTTTTTTTTTTTTTTTTTTTTTTTTTTTTTTTTTTTTTCTTTTCTTTTTCTTTAAGGCGGCCTTTTTCTTCATTTGTAACCTATTTTTATGGGGGTGGCTATTTTGCGTCAAATCTTTTGCGCAACTCGCGCCATAACTTTCTTCTAAGTCGGCCAATCTTTATGATTTTTGTGTCATTTTTTAGATCTCAACAAGTGCAACAAAATGACACCAAAATCATAAAGATTGGCCCACTTAGAAGAAAGTTATGGCAAGTTGCGCAAATGACCCATTTGTGTAAAAAATTTGCAAAGTAGCCACCTCCCTTTTTTCGTTCATTTTTTGACTGAAGTGAATTATTGTTTGTATCGATAAAATTCGTTTAATTAAAACTTAATTAAAAGATAAAACTTCAAATTTATCATTCGAAACACACAAGTTATCAATCCGCAAGTTGAAATACAAATACAAATCGCCAGGAAACTTCCTTTAGTTTCTAAAGATATTGAACAAAAGAAGTTGTTAAATCGATAGTTAAATCGTTAAAAGCCATGATTTGTGTTTGTTTCGAAGCAAAAAAAAATTTTGAAAGAAAACTGTCAAAGTAGACAGATCATTTTTTTTTTGGAAAAAACGATACAAAATAAGTGTGCAGAGTGAAGAAAGTTTTTTAAAAAGTCCAGGAGATCTTCAGCTCTTAGAGAGAATAATGATATTGCCTCGGAAATAAAGCCGTATCGATTCAAAGTTGAATAGAGCTTAAGATTGATTCTGAAGCTATGATTTTTCTCAAGCTATTTCGAGAATGTGTAGCTGCTGATTTCAAACGAGGGATCAGGGGGCCAGTGAGGAAAAATTGAGGCAAAAAAAAACTAGATAAGTAACAATTTAACTCCAACAAGCTACAGCTAAAAAATCAAAAAGAAAATCGCACTTCTAAAGCAAGAACTATTGATTCGGCTGAAGAAATCTAAAACAATGTGTATCAAGGATTGTAGGAGTGATCCGATTGAGGGAGGCCCGAGGGCCACAGTGTGTGTGTGTGTGTGTGGAGATGAAATGAAAAGCAGTAAAGAGAGAATATGGGCGAAAAAGAGAGGGCAAAGTGGAGAATGTGAGGGGAATGCACGGGGGGACGAACGATCGATTTCCCGCATTTGCTCTTCTCTCTTTTCTCCCACATCCATTTCCCCAGCAGAAAGAGAGCAAAAGGGGGGCATCCAGGGCCTCCCCCATTTCCTTTATCTTTCACTTTCCACCCGTTTTCCGCTCTTTCCTCACTCATTGCCCGTCTCGGCCACAAATCCGTAGATATTTCTCGCGCTCGCTTCACAGTAAAACTTCCTTTTCTTTCGGCTGATCGAATGAATGATACGTGAACGTAAAAATTTGATGAGGAAACACAAGTTAAGGCAAAATTAGTAGAAAGAAAATGAAGATTTTGTTAGTTTTGGAAAAAGGAAGTTTTGCGAACGTCATTATCTAAAAGCTTAGGCACTTTTCGGTAATATCCCGCCATCAAAATGGGCTACAGCTTTTTAACATTGTTGATTTTTAAATCAACAATGAAACTCATTGAAAAGTCTTTAAGGGCATCAAAGAATAGAAAATCATGACCATCTATTAGAATAACTACATTATATTTACTAATAAAAGTTGCAACAACAGCAACAGCAACAACAAACATTTGTAATACTAATGCGTAAGGAAGGATGATTCTATTGAAGAGTCTGCTTCTAATAGAGAGTTGGAATTAGAATAAAATATTAGAATAATTACGATAGTTTAAAACTCAAAGTTGACAAAATGAAGCTTTTATGGGGTTTTCAATTTTATGAAAAATGAGGTTCATAGCTGCTAAATTAGCCAAAAGCTTTCAGCTCTTGAACTGCGGATCTCGTGATTGAGATAGCCACATATGGAAATGGCCAGCTAGACACGTATGTGGACGAACGCCTATTGTGCGAGATTTAATATGCGTCGCTATCCGTTCAACTCCATTGTGTGCAAGACGAGACGAACGCCTGAGTTCCGTATAAAAGCAATGTGAACGAGCTGCCGTGATGTACCGTGGAGTGTCTCTACTCTCCCAATCAAACCACTGAACCAACTATTATTTCTGTAATAAAGATTATATCTAAAACAACAATAATCACTACAAAACCCAAAAATGGTAAAATGATGATTTTACCATGAGATTTTGCAATTTGACGAAAACTGTGGCATTAAAATCCACAGCTATTCATAACGTTACTCAAATACTGGTGATACTGGTACTGGCAATGATTCTTGCAGGATCATTGCCAATCGTAAAAATTCGATAGCTATGCCATTTGGTCTCTATTTTGAAACTAATAACATTAAGAAAGAGAATAAAGTGAACGAATCAACTTCCCCAGAAAAGTGTCGAGCATTTTATTGCCTTTTCTTAGGAGTGATGCATCTGTGTCAAAGGTGTCCCCAACCCCCCAACCACTTCCCTTCAAACCGCAATAAATATGTAATGTCTGGGAAATTCGGGAATTTTGATTCTGTTGGGAAGAAAATTGCCCAAAAGAGGGGGAAAATTTTTTTAAACTAATCAAGTTGCAGAAAGAAAACGCCTCTTTGATGGGCTTTCTCTTCGTCGGGCACAGCTGAAAGTAATCAACTTTTGGAAAGGAAGCACCAACTCCATTGGAAACCTTTCAAAAAGCAGAGCACAATATGATAACTAGAAGCTTTAATATTTTTGTTCATCTTTTATCCACTCAATTGCTCGCTTGTTCGTTTCAAACCAATAATGGAAAAAACTTTTATCTAAAAAACTCTGGTGGGCAAGAAAATCGATAAGGACAGTCCTGGAATGACCGAGGAAGAAATCATCTCATATTAAAGAAAATGCATAGAAGTCAAGGAGAAATGAACACCTAGATAAATTATTGGGATCGATTTTAAAGCCATATTATATAAGAACTCCCAAAAAGGCCAGACGAGAAAGAACAACAGGAAGGCAAGAATTCGGCCTAACGTGAAAGAGCGGGGGAAACGTACAAGAAATATTTTAACAAAAGTCTACAAAAAAACAACACTAGAAAAAAAAGGCACGAAGAAGAAAGTGTAACATAAATGAAGTCGCAAAAGTTGGCAGCAATGAAGCCGAAATCCTAAAACAATTAGTTTATTCGAGTTCCAATAGCGTATTTTAAACATTTTACTCCCAATCAAGAGCCTTTTTATATCAAGAAGAACCATTTCATAACTTTTTAAACCTTCCATGAACTAGCTTGATTTTGTTTATAAAAGAAAACTCACCTATTTGTTCACCAATGCCCAGGAAGACTCGATTGTCCAAAGATCGTCTCGCCTAACATGAATGAAGAGAAACCACCAAACAAATGGTAGCGAGGTATCGTGTCCGCATTGGCCCATTCAGGAGGCAACTAAAGCAAAGTAAAACTTGAACCTCCATATTATATCAACTACCTCATCCTCCCAATTGATTGGTGTCACCGAGCGCCTTTCAGAAGTAGACTAAAACAACAATACAAATGCATTGAAAGAAGGCAAACATTTGGTTCGTTTGAAGTTGCGGTCTCAAAGTGGCTTCCTCCAGTGATCTTTTTGCTAATCGAAACTGGGTGAGCTGGATTAAGCCGTGAATACTAAAACAAAGCCAATAACTCTATTACAGACAAATGCTTACGCCTGCTTTATTCGAGCAGTTGGTGAATCCGATGTGAGAGACTGGCGAGAAGGAGGGCAATCCGTCTTCCGTAAACAATGGGTGTCGTTCGACAAATTCAGGAGGTGGCGTCATTTGTAGAGACATCAATGCTGGGATAGCCGGTGGACGGTCCATCGAGAGCCTAAAAACAGAGACTCTGACAATCACAGCCAATTAATGCTTTCAAAGATGCCAACCTTCCGCTGAGTGGTGAAGAATCGCAAACAGTGGTAGGTTTGACTCGAGCGAAGGCAGAATCAATCATCGTCGAGTCTCCCTTTGCCGTATATTGTGATAGTCCTCGCATTATCTCTTCTAATGGCGACAATGGTGCAGGTGGTCCCTCCTAAAAGTTGACTACAATGAGCGCATTTATTCTTACCAATAAAGTATCGAATCCTCCCCCAGTGATAGGTGGCAATAAAGGCGTAAGTGGACGCCAAGCTGGTGTTCCTCCGGGCACAATTGGTGGCGATTTTGATGGCTGAATTAAAAAAATTAGTCAGCAAATCTTTCTTTGAATAAATTTCGTTAACAAAAGAACCTTGTTTCGTGCGATCTCAGTTTGAAATCGTCGGCCGTGTCGTGTTGTGCACGGTGCGGCCTAGATATTTATATATATTGGCACAAAATCTTCAAATTCATTTTGAACTAAAATAAAAAGTAACTTACATAGAAAATGTTGCTGTGTCCGGGTGGGCTGTTTTGCGCCGACCCAGTTGGAGTACATGCATCACCGCCAGACACAGAAGTTGCTCCACTCTTTATCTCAATGCCGCTGTCCACACCTCCACAACTTGATCTCATCATATGGCGTCCACTGGCCGGAGTGATATTCTAAATTTTTGATTAGGTCTTTTTCACCAGAAAATTAAACCTCTGTTTGAACCGTAAGCGGCGTTGTCAATGATCGATGTTGAGTTGCGTCTGAGAATGTTCGTTTCACGGCTGATGGTGGTGGAGTGTTGAACTTGTAATATTCGTCGCCCGTCTCATCAACTGAGTCATGGAAATCTGGAAAGGAAAAACGTTAATAAATAAAATTATCACAAACTTGTTCCATTTAAACTTGAAGTGGCCCAACCCTCAGTATCCTTGTACAAAGCCATTGATTCACGTCTTGATGCAACATACTAAAGACGTGAATGAATATAGGCAATGTGAAAATTGTCACCTCGCTTGTAAATGAAGAAATTTCCGATTCAGATTCCGATGGAAGTTGTGTTCTTCCTTTGGCTCTTGGCTCGGGGAACAGTGTTTGTCCTTTCGTCCCATAGTTGAGTCGTGGAAGGCCGCTTTCTCGTTTCACCCGCTTCTTCTTTATTCCTTTTTGCGCTTCAAGTGCTTGCTTTTCTCGTTTCTAAATAAAATCAATCAACTAAAATTTAAAATAACCTTATACCTCTCGGGCAGTGTCATGATTTTCATCACGAACAACAACTCCACCCCCACATCGACATCTAAACACAAATATATAGTAAAACCAAGCTAATGCACCTTGCTTTTAATTTATGAAACTAGTGTAGAAGTGTAAAAAACTAACCTGCAAACTTTTCCTACAAGCGCTTGCCCTTTTTTCTCCCATAAATTCTGTCGTCGTTGTCCATCGGTCCAGCCACGAGCAGAACCTAAGCATAAAATAGTTTTCACAAAACCAAAAAAGGCTCACCAGAGTTTTGTAGAATTTTAACAAGATGCTCCTCGAATGCATCCATACATCGATCGTGCACTAGTGTGGTCATGTGTGGGCAAGCAGGATTCGTACAGCACAACATTCGCCCCTCTTCATCCTCTCCGACTAGTGCTCCTAAAATAAAAAGTTCATTTGAACCATTAGAATAACTTTTAGTCTCTTACAATCGTAAGAAATCAACTCACCAACAAGGCAGTCGAGTGGCTCCGGTATTGGGCACCCGATCTTCGGTGGTGGCCCTCGTCTAGTTCGTGGTGTCGGCCGGGGTGAGGGGGATGTTCGAGCATCCTAAAAGAAAAAATATTTCTATATGATAGCTAAGAAATTGTCACTAAATTAGTTTTCAAATCATTTTAACATAACCGAGAGGCCTAGTAAAGTGCACGGAACGTTAGATTTAAGTTTCAGTCTTACATAACTGATACTACAAGTATAGCTCAACCAGAGAAAGGTCCTGTTAAATTTTTAAAAGTTCTAAAAATCACCTTCGTCACGGCTCGCTTGCTATCAGGTCGTCGTCCCATTTCGCTTCGTAATTGTAGCCGCGTCGTTTCTAAATGAAAACAAGTAAATAAGTAGATAGCGTAAGCAAAAAAGAAAATAAACAAGTTAGAAGTCGGCTTACGAAAAGAAAACAGGCAGGCGCGCGCGGGGGGGAATAACCTAGCGTAAGACGTAGCAGAATTGTCAACAGTTGGGCGCTTTTGGAGGAAAACAGCCGCCAATTGTCTCAAAAAAGCGCATAAATAAAGGAAAACAGGAGTAAACGTGTAAATTTACATCTCTAGATATGTAATTGCTCAAGCTAAGAAGAATAAAATCACAAGTTTCACTATTTCCAGAAAGTTCTAAACCGAAAAACGGTCAACAGCTCAAAATTTTGGCCTTTTTGGCACAAACGCTAGGAAAATTTTGACCACAAGATCGAAAAATTTGCAAAACATGGCAAAACCGTCCTGGAACACACGTTTCTTAGAAAAAAATATATGGGAAATGGAAAAGAGAGAAGGGGAGGCAGAGATCAATCGATATCCGGTGAATGGCCTATCGGTGAGAGGAAAAGGGCACTTTTGTGAAGGGAAAAAGTGAGAAGGGAGCTGGGAATAAGGAACGGACATTTCAAAAAAGTGAGCAATGATGACCAATAGTGATATGTGCAACGCAACGAGTTAAACAAGTCAACGAGTCGGAGTTAAACGAGTCTAAGCAATTGAAGTGTTTTTGACAAAATGAAGTTGGCGAGAAATTTTTTCGCTACGTAACCCATCGTGTTTCGCCAGAAATAAGTGCACAGTGGAAGACACAGCAAAATCGTTATCGTTTTCACTTGTAACCAATTTTGCATGACAAAAATCTTATTCAAATTCGATGAATTTTGTTGTTAATTGGTTCGCAAGTACCAAAAGGATTACCCTTGAGAAAAGATCAAAACATAGAACAATGGAATTTGATGTGTCAATGAGGGTCAAAAGGGGGGAAGGAGAAGATTGACACCTTGTGACCGCCGGCAAAACGATTCATTGTAGGTGGCAGAATTTGCGAGAAAAGAGTCACAACAGAGCAATCTCGCAGCTGGCCGAGAGAAAACAAAGCGATTTTCATCGCGTAGGCTATTCGAGTTTTGATTTGAGAATTTGGTGGGGTAAGATTATTATAGACCGTAATATTAGGTAATACAGGGTGCGAAAAAATTATGGAACGAACTTTGAAAACAGCTGTTCTGTGTTGTTTTTTCTGCATTTTGGTTTGAACAAAAGTTCTAAAAAGGATTTTTGATCATATAACGCCGCCATGGCCGACTGGCTAGGAGCCCTGTATCTTAGTCGTGAGGTCAAGGGTTCAATCCCGCCGGCGTTCTGAATAACTTTAAATTTATAGAAAATAGCTGGATGGATTTTACTGAAAATGTAACAGAGATTGATTTTTCTTTAACATAGAAACTTAGTGTCAGTCCCCATCAAAAAAGTTGTCAACCGTCGATTCTCGCCAATGTTGCCTACTCGTTTTTGCACTTCGGAAAAACCCCAAAAACTAAGGCTTATCTAAATTGTCAACAACCATTTTGCGGAGGAAATATAGGTCTTTCCAATGGTGCAAACCGTACTTCATTTGGTGCATTCAACATTTTTAAAACCAATTTTTAGTAAAAAAGTCCGGTTATTTAGTTGACAACCTAATAAACAAAGGTCGAGCGTTTTGTTCTTTCCATTCCTTTGGCCACTTTCCCGTTGGTCGGTTATCGTGTTGAAATCGGCACAAGTGAGGGGAATTTCTTTTAAAATTGCTTTTTTACAGTAAGCAACGAAAACATCGAAACCTTGGCTACGTTTGCTACGATAGCGAGTACTTCAGCCCATCAACCTAGCTCCTTATGTCGTACTACTTTTGGAAAACCAGTTACACTTATTATTGGAGGGGCAATATCGACTACTACGCGGTGTCGATCTCGGTCGGCGATTCGCATCGATTCGCTCGTTTTGTGGAAGATTTGAAACCTGGTTTATTTGGTTTCTTTGAGGCTTTACTCAGTATTTCTAGAAGAAATTTTAACAAGAGATAAAATGATAAAATTAAGAGATAAAATGAATTAATCGCAAAAACTCATTCAAGGAATACTATCATCGCTTATCGTAGTAATACTATCATGGCATCTTTCAACTTTCAGAGCAAGACTGCCGTTTCAAAGCAAAAAAGGAATGACGACCTCAAACTTTTGATTGTGATTGGTGAGAAAAACAAAAATTGAGCAATTTCTAGAAAAGTAAACTCTGTAAACAAACCACCAAAATTCTTTGGTTCAAAATTTTTAAAATAAACCACCAAAATTGGTACGCTTGTACTTGGTTAGAGGTGAGAGGCCAAAAATGCTTTTATTTACGATCACTTTCGCCTTTCTTGGTTTGATCGTACCGTTTTTGATCACAAATTTCCCCGATCAACGTGTGAACTTCAACCAATACTCGGGCTTTTACTCGGTTGGAGTAAATGGAGATTGTCAACTTCATTATCGGTTTGAGAAAGAAATTGACACAAAACATTTCATAATGCAGGTTTCTTGAACCTCAAAACAGTCCAAGGATCAATCCTGTGGCTAACGGGAGGACCAGGATGTTCAGGCTTATCCACGCTACTCACCGAGTTTGGACTTTTCTTTGTGAGTTTTTGACTGATTTCTGCCATCTCATATCAACCTATACCAAACATAATATAATAACTCACCAATTTAACCATTTATATTATAGTTTTGGGCGTTTTAATGCGAGATTTAAAGAACCGGGAGTCAATATGTACATATTTAAGTGATCACTATCAAGAGAAAACTTATCGGGAAGATTAAGGATCTGTTATTTTATTAAAAGAGATTCTAATCCAGATTTCAACGCACTATTAGCATTGCAAGCTAATGCTGACGAAGAAACGCTGAAATCGAATTTATTTGCATGGAATCGAAACAGCTCTGTGCTCGTCTTTGAGGCACCAGCTGGAGTTGGATTCTTGTAGGTAAAAAACAGTGATATACAGGAGATGATCAGGTAGATGTTGAATAAATGATTTATAGACGGCTTCGGCAAATTGGCAATCACTCAAAGCTTTCTTCACTGTTTTCTCTTAGTATCAAAACAACACAACATTATATAAATCAATCTTTAGCGGATTCTCGACCAGTTGCCCGATTGGAGTGTTTGCAAGTGAGTTCAGATGCCTAACGGATTGAAAACTTAATATTTTTGCGTTGGCTTTACTCAGCTAAAATTTAAGATGCTGTTTACCTGGTTTCCAGCAACAAACCCTCAATAGCTTTTCACATTTTTGGACTGTTTTATAAAGTTTTTGAATATGGATTCTTGTTCTGTTTTTGTTTTTTATTTACAGTTTTGATAAAAATAGATTCATCAAAGTATTCAACTTTTGGTTTCAATTTTGGGATTGATGCGGCTAGTGATGCTCATGATGAAGATGATGATGTGATGAGGTAGATCTGGAAAAGTTCTATTTGAGATTGTCTCAGATTATGAGTGCTTTGAGGTTCTGTTCGAATGATGTTAAGAAGCCGACTTCTCTGCATGATGGCGTTGCTCGACTGGATTCCCGTTGTAGAGCGGGTCCTCGTTGGTGTGTTTAAAGTTGGCAAAAGCGGTGTGACTTTTGTGCGGATCGATATGCGGAAGTACGTGCGGATTCTATAGAAGAGATATTGAAAATGCTCGAACTATCAATTCATTCATTCATCAATAACAAGTTTGAAATGTCATTTCGTCATTTCTGGCATCTTGTTCATACAAACGTTTTTACTTTACACACTTTTATAAAAAGAATGTTAGGGAAATGGGGAATAAGTTTTAAATGTGAACTTTTTCTAAAGGAGATCTAACTATTCTATTAGGTTAGTCAATAAGTAATGAGCCTCTCCTTTATCTAAACTAAACCATAGTAACCTTTCTGATCTTTTAGTACGATAATTATCAAAGAGATTAACATTATTTAACAGATTAACAGATTAACATTATTTAACAGATTAACAGATTAACATTATTTAACAGATTAACAGATTAACATTAACGAACTCAATCTGATTCCTTATTGACTGATAGAATCTTACCGGTGGATTGTTTGGAGTATGATCATTGGACAACGGATCCTCCCAAGTATGCTTAAAGTGCGCGAAAGTCTCGTGGCTCTCGTGGGGATTTTCGTAGTGGTGGCTCATTTCTTTAGAGGAAAAATAGAATTCCAAAAATGTTAGACTGCGTTTTTGAATTAGGCTTATCTACCTTTTATTTTCTTCTCTTTATTCATTCTAACGAGGTTGTATCTTCTCTTTGGAAGAGAACAGGAGCGTTTGTTGTTCTGAACTTTCGTCTTTTGTGATAAAAAGTGCTCATGTGATTGTGACGGAGAGAAATGAATGTATCCCCTCCCACACATGCTTATGACACACATGAGTAACACTGAATTGACTGTCTGATGACACGACTTGATTGTCATTGGTTTTTGGGTTTTTTTTTGATCATTTGCTGATTAAACTTGTTTATGAAGTGTTGTATTTGAGTTTTTTTGAATCAACCATTTCTGCACTCAATCATCGTTTGTCTATTGCACAATGTTCTTAATTTTTTTACGATCGAATCTTTGTTGAAAAGTCTGGAGTCAGTGGAGTTGTGAAATCGGATCTTTTAGGCACGAAATTCCCACCCAAATTCTACTCAAACAACACGAAATCGAAAAAAACGTTCTTCTTTTTGCCACTTTAGATGATCACTTTAAAACTTTCCATATTACTATTAGGTTGATGCATAAGTCTTTTTGTTCCTTTTCGTCTGCCGTTTCAAGCCAACAAATGCACCAATTAAACTACGGTTGATTTCATTAGAAAAACCAATTATTTTTCTGCAAAATAACATTAAAGCGGGTTTAAAAATATTTTATGCCTGGATTTTCTTGAGAGTATGAAGTCGGGTAGTCAAAAGGGCTAACTCGATGATGCGGTTTAGACACCTTAGCTAAAGAAAACCTATCTTCGTGTCAATAGATAAAAGATAGAGAAAAAAAAGTTTGATATTTCGCCAAAATTTCAGAGAAATTCATTCAGCCAATTTTTCCGTAGAGTTTTTTATAGATTTTTACGAAAAAGGCGTTTTTCACTCTCGAATTTGCTTGAAAGTGAACCGAAATTCATTTAAAAAGATGCAAATTGAACAAAAAAACACTTTTTTTTATAGAGCAAACTATAGATTAATTGGTGAATTTGTTACTTTTTAACAGAAGTACGAAAAAAACGAAAAGACTTATGCATCAACCTAATAGAACTAGAAAGAAATTTTGAGCCTTTCTGAACTAAAAATTGAGTTCTGTTTTGTCAGGTATCTTATTACTCTTCTGTATTCGATTTGATGAAAAAACAATAGTTTTGATTGTCTGTGAATTCTTAGATGTTACTTTTTTTGCTCATCATCATTCAATTCGGTCAGCCTATAGAGGTCTCGATTTTTAACGAGCTCCGCTCATGTGCTCTCCGAAATCTGGCCCCACTCGAATGGGATACCCTCTCCAATATCTACTGTGGCTGGGAATGTATGGGAAAACTTTGCAATATAGGGAAATGTGAAGAAAGACGAATCGATGATGCTCAGTCGTTTTTCTGCGTTTGCAGCCAATGCCGGAGCGCACGGACGGCAATTCTACATGCACTCCACGAAAAACCGATTGATTCCAATTCAGCCTATCGATTGATAACTAAATCTATTATGACAATAAATTTCGGGGTGCCTAAATGCACTTTATATGCAAACGTGGATGTGTTTGTGTCCTGTGTTATTTTAAAATTGTGTTCTCTGGTTTGCTTTCCGCAAAATGTTTGATCTAGTAGTAAAGCTTCTATCCGGAAATGTTCTAATAAACGGACACTCTGGAGGGCATTTGAAAAATAAGCAAGCAAATAACAAAAATCAGTTTCGATCAGTGCTTACCAAACGATTAGCACGTCAACTTTTCGTCTCTGTTCTGCTTTTGAATATTTCAAAAATAATTAAACATTTTGTTTATCTGATTACGTCAATTACTTAATTTCGAAAGCGCAAAAGTAGGGTTTTGGCGTTGTGCAATCACTCGTCTTCCATTCTCCTTTCGAGTTCATAACAGCGCAAATGTCGTGGTTTAGAGATGAAATGGGCTCACCTGAAAAAGCGATCCAATGTAAATCTACATCTACACAAACATCTACAACTTTAATTGCTTACTACAACTTCTACAACAATCTTTTTTTTGCTCACCTTGTGCCCAACATTCGTATTCAAGCGGTTTCCCATCAAAATAGGTCCAATCATTACCAACTTTCTTCCAAATGCTGATAAACGGCTCAACATCATTGAGCTCTAAATCACATTATTATTATTATGAAAAATGTATACCTGAGACAATTAATCCTTTCAAAAAAGTGTTTGCTGTGACATTTTTGATTCTCACTGGATGTGAGGATTCGAGTGATGCACACGAGTTGGCGAGATTGTAAAATGTTTGCGCTAAATAGATTTATGAACTTCCAGCACGAGTTCTACTACAATAAAAAGGATTTATTGGGTTGGTGAATTGATTCTTTGCCTTTTTGCTCTTTTTGCCACCAGGTGCGAATGGATCTGATTTCTAAAGCTCAATTCTTACTTAATAATCTCTTTACCTTTGCCTCACAGTTTTTTCAAATTCTGACAATGATAACAGTGACCTTTACTTTTTTTGCAGGCTTCAAATTTTACATCTTGTTGAATTGAAAACTGCCGGCTATTGTCATATGTGACAGTTTGAGCACTTTATTCAAAAGAAACCCATTTTGGTGTCAATGGAAAAGTTGTAGAGAATCAAAAATCAAGCTTATATCCAAATTTTCAGAACGATTCAAAAACTGGCTTTCAAGAAATGCCAAATTTACAAATTTTCACAAAACTTGCATTTTAAGCGAAACTACTAAGTGTATCTTTTTGGAAATTTGGCTATAAGCCTAATGTTTGATTCTCTACAACTTTTCTATTGACACTAAAATGGGTTTCTTTTGAAGAAAGTGCTCAAATGCTCAAACTGGGACATCTCCAGTCCTCCATTTTTGAGTCTCACACTTGTCTCACACACAAACCAAAATCCTACTACGAAAGAGGAATCCGCAAATTAAAAAAATGGGCAGAAGTCGTCAATAATAATGGAAATTATTTCCAATGAATTCATGGTTTTATGTTGAATAAATTTTAGTTCAAAGTCCGGCAGTTTTCAATTCACCAACCCAATAGATTTATGAACTTCCAGCACGAGTTCTACTACAATAAAAAGGATTTACAATTCACAATTTACAATTTACAGACTAAACAAACTATAAACTTTAAATTAAGCCCTAAAACTATAAGATTTTCTCGGGTAAAAGAAGCAAACGCACGCGTTTTCAGGAGACGAACACAAGCGGATTCGTTGAAAAACTGTTGCCACTCATTTGGGCAATGCAAAGCATTCGAATAAAAGATTGTTCCAAAGAAAAATGTAAAACAAAGGAAAGAGTTTGACATTTTTAGTGTCATTTATTTGGTGAAGGAAAAATTTATAGTGTTTCGATGCAATGATTGTTTTTCAATTTGTTATTGACAGATTTTCCTATTAGCCAATCACTCTAATCAATCAAGCCATTTTGAGCAAAGAAACACTCCCTGTTTACCATTTATTTCAAAACCCACAAAAAACAGGACAAATACCTATAAATTCGGATCATTGTAACACTAACGACAAAAGAACACGAATAAAGATCAACTCTCAAGCTAACATTATCTCATTCGGTATCGAACATGATTCGATTGAACAATGCGATGGAACAATCGATTCAGTGGAACTTATTAAAAAGCTGTGTTCCAAATTTAACAACAACAGCTCTGATGATAAATTTTCAATAAAGGATACTATGAAATACAATTCTTTTCAAAAAAAACAAAAGTTTTATGCTCAAATTTTTGCTACAGAATGCTCAAACTACAGAGTGTTCAATATTTATGGGAGCCAGTAGATTACTAGGTTTAGAGCTCATTTTGTACAAGTTTAATGCTAAAAAGGAAACACACATATCAACTTTAAGTTACTTTTCTTTAAAATTATTGCCTTTTGCTTAAAAAGCTGTGTTCCAAATTTAACAACAACAGCTCTGATGCTAAATTTTCAATAAAGAGATGGATGTTATGAAATTCAATTTTTTTCAAAAAAAACAAAAGTTTTAGGCTCAAATTTTTGCTATAGAATGCTCAAACTACATAGTGTTCAATATTTATGGGAACTTTTGAGCTCATAGGTCGTTTAGCGTTTAGCGTTTAGCGCTCTCAAAATTGGTTTATGAAAAAAGTCATCAAGAAAGCTCTCCATACTGAAATTTTGAGCCTTTCTGCACTAGAAATTGAGTTCTGTTTTGTGAGGTATCTGATTACTCTTTTGTATTCGATTTGATGAAAAAAAACGATAGTTTTGATTGTCAAATGAAAAAAAGTTGACTTTCTAGATTATTTTTATAGTTTACTAAATTTGATATTCCAAAAATCGATTCATCGGAACTCGATCACCAAATTTCACCAAAAGAATCAGACTCTGTTGTTTAACGATGAGAAAGTCTTCACTATTTAACAGTTTTCAAATCTACTAGACATTACAAATGTTAGAATCACATTTCAGTTCTAGTCCTTCGAAGAAAGCTTAACAAGAGTTTGTGACAAACTCAATTTATCTCCAAATTTCACCAAATGGCCACAGTAAGCGCTTTCCACAGCTGTTTTTAGGCAAACAACAGCGCAAAAGGCAATAATTTTAAAGAAAAGTAACTTAAAATTGTTAAAGTTGAGTGTATTGATAAGTGTGTTCCATTTTTAGCATTAAACTTGTACAAAATGAGCTCTAAACCTAGTAATCTACTGGCTCCCATAAATATTGAACATCCTGTAGATGATAAACAATTGCAAGATGGGAAATGAATTAAGTGGTGCCTCTGCATGGTCAATAAACAAATAGAAAATGAGTTTTATTAAAGAAAACTGTTTCTTAATGAGCAATCTTAACTCGACTGGTCAACGGCGATAATCAAAAAGAGTGATCTCCCTTTTGCCTAATCGCTCATCGACAACCGTTACTATCGCTTCGATTTCGTTTAAATCTTTCACTTTGACGCATTTACCTTCAAAAAATGTGATGTTGTTTGTTTCTTGAGTGCTGGTTCTGGAGCAAATGTCCGCTAACGATGACCACGCCCTTATGACTAGTGAGCTGAGTCTTTAATTGAGTCTTTAATTGAGCCTTTTCAGCTACTACTATGTTCAACAATTCTGAGTGTTCCGCATGCGTGCTAACAATAAGTAAATGATATTTTTCATTAGAAAGGCTTCAAATCTGAGTTTCAGTCTGTTTTAAAGATAACTTAGTAAAGCACTGTTTCTTGTTTTTGGTAGGTGTTTCAAGTGAAATAACTAATTCAGATGACATACCAAAATTTCTTTGTAAAAGAGAGACTTTTCGTGAAGAAGACAAAACTTTCCAGGTCGGTTTCGTTTCTTTTTTGATATTTCATTTTGATATTTTGATACATGTCATGTGATTGTGGGTGTCCGTTTTCTATACAAATGCAGTGGTCTTCTTTAGATAAAGCTTTGAATTTTTGTGAAAATCTACGATTTCAGCGCTTTTCTCTTTTGCCTTAACGCTTTTACGACTCGCTTTTTGATGGACTCAAAGATAAGCGAAGAGCTATTTGCCGGCACTAATATTATTACTTCAGGTCTTCGCAAAATGCATCAACAATTTTTGTGCAAATTTTTGTTGCTACTTTGGGTTTTCCTATGTATTTCCGATGCCCAATGTCCTGTCGACTTCGAGTCAGTGCCTGGGGAGAAGACCTGTGTCGCCATTTTTAACGAACGTAAGCACACGTTGACAAAGTTCTTTAAAATTGACAATTATATCCTACTCTCTATAATATCACAAAAGCGTGTGTGTGTCCGGGCGTTTTTCTCGATTGTCTCACATTTTTAGAAAAACACAAATAGTTTTCATTGTACCGGATGGTCGAGTGGTATAAGGCGCTGGCAGCGGTCTGTAGGGTCGCTCGCAGGTTCGATCCCGGGTCAGGTCTTTGCATTTTTAAGAAAAGGTTCGAGATAGGGTAAAAAAAGTACGGAGTACTGTAAACGATATCCAGTGCGTCAGAGATTGCGTGTTTGTGTGTTCCCACAGAGAACGCATAATCGTTTTCAGATAACGTGTGATTTTTGGGAGGGAAGTGATTGGGATTGGGGGAACGACTACGTGAGAGTACTAAAAACGGAATCCATTTTGCCAGACACGTTTCTGTGTTCGCGCAGAGAACGCACAACATCATTCAGGGATAAAGAGATGGCTGAGGAGAAAGGGTTAGGGATGGGGTAAACGACTACGAGAGAGTACTAAAACGGAATCTAGTTCGCCAGATCCCAAAAGTTTTTTTGTTCGCTTAAAATCGTCAGAGGGGAATTTCGTGGGAGAGACACAAAAAGGAGAGTGCGTAGACCCATTTGTAAGATGAGTGCGTCAGTGAGTGTTCAGTGACCTATAGATTGGTCCAAGTTCCGTTTACCACGTACTGCCAGTGGCTTATCCCGCCACGTGGCGATGAGTAAGTTGCTGATTTAGGCTATGACAAAAAAATTTTGAAATACGCTAAACAAAACAGCAAAATCTCCAAACTTTACAGCGACCTTCTACCCGGATGCCATTCGAAAGTGCTCGTCGGTCGGAGGAGTGTCAGCGAAAATCGAAAATGTTTTTCAGAATAGCTACTTCTTTTCGACTTTGCCTTCAAGTTTTTGCTTAACCACTTAATTTTTTGAGTCTCGACTTTCCAGAGACAAACGGGACAGCCCCCTACATTGGAGTAGAGAAGAAGCCGGGCGGTGGGTGGACGTACTCGGATGGAGCGCCGCTTATCTATCAAAATTGGAATAACGGTATCACTTTGAAATTGTTTGTGCTTTAGAGCAGAAAGATTGTCAAAGTCAAACAAGCGACAAAAAGAGATGCAGAGTTCAAAACGATTTTCAGTATGTGTCCTTTTAGGTGCCTATCCAGTTCCCTATACAGTCTATACAGTTGTTTAATAAGTTCAGCGATTAGCGTTTGGAAAATTCGCTTCAGGTGAGCCACAGTCAACGAGCAACTCGAGCATCTGTGCGATAATGGATCCACGAAATGGGAAATGGAATGCGGCCGAGTGTTCGTTTGCTCGACCGTTTGCCTGCTCGATTAATCATGACGGTGAGTGAGTTGATTTGAGGAGAGATTTTGAGCCTACTTGCAACAAAACTTGCCAGTTCGTCTAGTGACCTCAAGTTAAACTCGGGCGTTTTCTATAATGCGCTCATTCTACAGTACCCCGTCGTGAGATTTCACCCTTAGCCTTTTTTTCCTCGCCTCTAACTCTCCTCATGGGTCTATCCCAAAACGGCGCCGACCAAAACAGCGTCACCCAAAATAGCGCCGTACCCAAAACGATGCATAAAAAACATCAAAATAGCATCGGATTAATAGTCCAAGAGACTCTGAAACATCATAACACTAGCGATGATGAACATAAACGGCTAGAGCTTTCAAGTGATCCGTAGTAGAAAAAGAATTGGGTTTTCTACTCAACACAGCCAATTTACGATCCAGATGCGACTTACGAGTATGAGGATTTTGCGGATTTAATTGTGCCAACCTTTTTTGTTGTAGTCCAGCCATCAATTGCGATTTCTCGTACAACTCCTCAACTTCCAACAGTTTGGTTGCGACAAATTGAGACGCAGCTTTAGAAGATATGCCCTTAAATTATCAAATAACAACAAAAAATAAATTTATAACCTTTAGCTTTGCATTATAAGACTTTTGTGAAGGGTTTCCAATTTGTTCATTCTTCGTAATTGAGTCTAATGAATTCCACATTTCAATTGGATACCGCGGAAAAATGTATCAATCATATACCCCCATATGTCCGATATTATTCTTCTCAAAAAAGTTGAACAAAACTAAAATGTGCTTAGTTTCATCATATAAAAGAAGACTCACCTATTAAATGATTTTTCCGGCTTGGAAGAGCAAACAGAGCATCTTTGAAGAGATTATGAAAATAAGTCTTGACATCGATCGGCCGAACATAAGTGAGAACCATTAATCCTTGAACAAAGATTTTGTTAATAGAATCCTGGTATAAATCAGACAAGTTGTTTTTCTAAAACATAATCGTTTTAACCTTTTATAATTGAAAACCTGAATAGCTCCATAAACGCTCCTGAAAAAATGAAAAGTACAATAGTGCACTTTCGTTGCAGAGTGGGGATAGGCAAGATTGAAACCACAGTACAACGCCAGCTCCATACCTGAAAAAAAATTATAAAACTAAAATATATTTGAATCCAACCCGTTTTTAATTTGTGCGGAGGTGATATGCCAGCTGCTTGAAGATAGCCAAAGACTTCCTTGTAGGTGTTAGCATACTTTCGATTCAAAAATGCATACACGCACGGAACAAACATATGTTCATGCTAAAATTTCTTAAATTTGGGCTTTTATTAAAATAAACCAACCTCGATGCCAATAATGAAGACTTGTTTAAATCCTGTAGGCGTGGAAGCAAATGTCCCGTCGCAGGACCAAATGGCATTCTAAAGTACAATAAAAAAATTTTACAATTATATAGCTAACCTGCAATAATTGTTGTTTTCCCCAACCGGTCCAGAAGACTTTCATTGCCTTTTCATTCCAAGATGTGTACGCATCGCAAGTGTCGAAACGTAGAAACCTTGTACCTTTATTTTAATTTCTATATAAAGCATTTAAAAAGCGTACGAAATTTTCCATCATCGATCGGACTTGCCCACATTTTTGTGCCAGGAATTACTCGCTGTCGTCTCGCCATTTGTTGAAAACCGGAAACATTGAGTAGGCGTGTTACGTCGGGTGGACTGTTTTTTATCGTCTGCCGTACAATTTCTTTGACGTCTGCCGTACAACATCTTCAAACACAATTCGAATCTAAAAACGCAATTGTTACACAAACAACAATGTCTTGATCATCTACCTGTTTTTTGCTTTCTGGTGGCAAGTCGTCGTGACTTTTCGTGACCGTAAGAATGCCGGTTGCTTTGTTTTGATGGGCTCGGCCATAACATTTCGCCTTTGAACAGCGAAAAAGAAACAGAATTGGTTATTACAAGATAATTATACTTCCCTTACCTATAACTCAAAAGTACACCGCATTTAAGTGCTGTGTCCTTTCGTTATTCGAATCCATCTGAGTCGTAAATCAGTGACCGTTCTTTTTGGCTTGTCATCCTGCCTAGAAAAATAAATTAATAACTAACAAACCGTAAAACTATGTTAAAAAACCATAAATCATAAACCAACAAACCATATTACCACAAAGCTGATAAAATATACCTTAACCGCCACGTTTGTCCTTTTCAAACACGCAGCAGCGCCTCGCTCGATTTCTGATTGTTGCTGACTGATTACCTGCAAAATGAAAATGCTAAATGGCGAGGCAAACCTAATATTAAGTCACACATCCATAAAGCTGATAAAATATACCTCAAAATTTCACGTCGGTCCGTGATGATAGGACGACGATGATGAGTATGCAGCAATGCCTCGTTCAATTTCAGATTGCTTTGTTACCTACAAAAATAAAAAGTTAAAAAACAGGCCGTAAAAGGGAAAAAATTTGTTATTTTTGGTTAAAATCACTTTAATAAACGCTATCGCAGTTTTCTTGGCGTAAAGCTTAAAAAAATCGGATTCTCCACCTTTTTTTACCCTAAAAACACAAAAAGTGAACAAAAAAAGTTAAAAACAGCAAAAAAAAGAAAAAGTAAAAACTCTAAAAAATAATTTTTTTTGCTCGTTGATGTTTTGGGCGTTTTTGCATTGGCACTTTTTTCGGTCGGCGCTGTTTTGGCGGCGCTGTTTTGGGATAGACCCTCATCCTTCTTTCGCAACTTTTCGAGTTTTGGAACTGTCAAATGAATTGCTTAACCGTCGCGCCGCGTCAAATCGTTGTCTCAAACTGCACCCTATTGGCACAACCATCAAATACATGACGACTGGCCGCAAGGCCTAGTTTTTTGCTTCTTGAAGAAGCAACGAGCCAAAACAAGCAAGAAGCTTTTCCAAATTAGTCATCCTAAAAGTCGTACACATCCGATTCTCCTAAAAGTCGTACACATCCGATTCTCCAAAAAGTCAACTTTTTTCAGAAGCTGTCTGTCCTGACGAATGGATGCCCTTTCAGAACCAATGCTACTATCTACGGGTAAAAAATATAGAAACTAATATATAAACAAAGAACGATTAAGAATTTCACGCTTGTGAACGGGAAATGGCAACTCTATTTGTATGCAGACGCCGAAAAAGAGTGCACAAATGTTGGCTCGCATCTGGCGTCAATCCATTCGAAAGAAGAACACGATTTCATCTTTGGTTGGGCGTTATTTTATTGAAAATTGAATAACTGATTCTGTCAATACTTTCAAAAGCTTAGGTTTTTTTCCGAGTTTTAGTTTCAGCGGATAGTTTAAGGTTGGATGGATAGTTTAAGATCCAACACAACTATTATGTATAATAAATCGTCGTTTTTCAGATTTAATCTACGCAAATGTCAAAGGGATGACCGATCCCTCACCGGACAGTTACCCATGCAATTGGGGCTGGGCCTTTATCGGGCTTACAGGCACCGGTGCCGCAAACGATTCAACGTGGACCGACGGGTCGCCGACTGACTTTTTAGGTTATCCGCTCAATGTCACGTCGACTTTCCGCTATTGGATGGTGAGCATCGAGAGAAACTTGTTAAATAAATCAAATGTTTGACCTTTTATTTGAGAGTTGTACATTAAAAGAAGAGCTCTATTTATGATTTTCAGATATCCAACGATCACTCGTGCAATACATGGTTTTGGGATTCCAACGCGGCAACAACCGCGACGGCCCGTTTTGTCTGCAAGAAACCCGTCGAAGCGTTGATTCAACCAAAGACAAAAACCTCAAAAACTCCCGAAAAACGACCAAGAAAAGCGGCCAAATTCGGATGTCCTGCTGGTTTTTCGCAGTTTCCCGAAGAGAACGCATGCTTTGTCTTTGTGTCGAAACGTAAGTTGTTGACTCTTTAAATAATACATAGTTGCTCCACATAATTATGGCTTTACCCTTGATTTTCTCAAAAACTAGGTTTCTAAAAGGTTTTAGCAAAAGTTATCAAATAAGAATCAATGTCATACAAATTAGCATAATTAACCGATTTTGAATTGCAGAAAATTTAATATTATTAATTTTATTAATAATTTTTCTTTGAAGTTAGCAAAAAACAAAAAACCCTTTTGGAAAATCCACATACTTATAGCTCTATCCCACTTTTTTTATTAGTTTTTGCTACAAATTGTTGTTATTTTGTTTTTTAACTTGCCATTTTATCATAATTTTTGCTTTTCTAGATAATGCCGCGGGGAAAAGGAGAACGGGATATGGAACATTCATCCTGGCCGGCCATTCACTCTCCAATCGAGAAACACGACTGATTCTTCGAGAAGCCTCAAACAGTGTATCAACTTGCAGTTCTACCAAGACAAATCTGCAATTGAATGTCTCCGCTGAAACGATTCGACGTGTAATTTCAAAGAGCAAGTTTCAAAGAGCAAGCTACTCGAGTGACTATGACCGGTATTCTTCGTAAATCAAAAAATCGAGGTTTTTGGGACACTATTGTGACGGCCGATGAAAAATGGATTTACTACGATAACCCATCGCGAAAACAGCAGTGGTTAAGTCCAGGAGAATAGACAAAAAACGAGGCCACAACGTGATCCGAATGGAAGAAAGGCTGTTATCTGTTTGATGGAATTCCCGTGGTCTTGTACACTTTGAGGTTCTACCTTCTTTTCCAACAGTCACCTCAGCTCTATATGTGCAACAGCTGGAACGAGCAGACCAGGCTCTCAAGAATCAAGGCGTAAACCCATTGACTGTGAGATATCTGCAAGATTACGCGCGCAGCAAAGCAAAGAAGACGCAGGAAAAACTCGAGAATATTGGGTTGGGAATGTCTTCCGCATCCGCCGTATAGTCCACATCTGGCACCCTTAGACTACCACTTATTTCGATCTATGCAGCACTTCCTGACCGATAAACACTTCAAGGATCACGACGAAGTCCGAATTTGGGTAGGCCAATACTTCGACTCGCAGCCTCAGGATTTCTTCAGCAAAGGGATTCGAGATTTGAAAGAAAAATGGAGAAAGACTATTGCGAACAACGGAGAATATCTTTTGGATTAAGGCGCATTGTTTTCTTTTTGTGGAGATGAGTTTGCTTTTCATTAAAAGGGTATTTTCATCCCGGACAACCTAATAGAAACCTAGTTTTTGAGAAAATCAAGGTTGGAGCCATAATTATGTGGAGTAGTGTAGAATATATATTGATATAGTAAATAGCAAGCGTTTAATAGTTTGTTTTTTCAGCTGCTTTCTACGTGGACGCGATTCGCGGTTGCAATCAACTTGGGTCGGTCGTTGTGAAGATTCAAAACATTCTCGAGAATAGTTACTTGTTTGGCTTGATGTCAGCCGGTTGGTTTGAACATGAGAAAAAGTATAAATAGCTCGTTTTCGAAGTGAAAGGACAGGCGTACATTGGAGTGGAGAAGAAGCCAACCGGGGAGTGGACGTATGGTAACGGAGAGACGCTTCTCTACCAAAATTGGGATGTTGGTGAGTTGGTGGTGATGGGTCAACCAGAAAAAAAACATTGGTTAGACTAAATAAAACGAAGACTGAAAAACAAAAACAAGAAAAGGAATGAGTTTTTCTTCTAAATGATATCTAAAGAGTATTACAGAAATCTCAAAATTTCTAGATGAGCCGAGCAACGCTTCCAATTCAAGCATTTGTGCGGTGATTGATCCAGATTCGGGGAAATGGAAAGCCGCTGAGTGCTCTTTTGCTCGTCCATTCATTTGTATTTTTGCCGATCAAGGTAAGCATTTCGTGTGACAAGCTTCATGGTAGCTTGTTCCTTTTCTTTCTTATTGTTTTTGCCTACCCACGGTATCGAGTGAATAAAACTATTGGGTATTTCATTATCATAGGCCCAGTGTTGTCTAGGCAGCTTTTTTCACTTTTCGAATTAACTGTCTGAGCGTCTTTAGCCAATCGTTGTCCCTATCAGTGGCATTATCTCGAGAAGTCAAACTCGTGCTACTATCTAAAGGTATTTTTGCCTTAGTCTTACACGTTTTCACAACATTCAAGGATTTCGCGCTCGATCCGCTAGGTATGTGGATTTCCTATAATTTCACGTACGCTGAGAGTTGGTGCAGTGAGATCGGCGGAAAAGACTCGCATCTCGTGTCGATTCATTCGATGGAGGAACTTGAGTTTGTTTATGGTACGTTTTTTTGTGTGATTTCCGGTTCGATTTCTTTTCTAAACACAACATTACTGTTACTTTATTGTAAAATAATTCATAAAAAGGACTTAAATGCAGACCTAATCTACTCAAATGTGGCCGGAATGTCCAATGTGGCGTCCAACAATGACTCGTGTCGCTTTCAGCCAGCTTACTCGGGACTGTATATGGACGGCTACATACGCGGTTAGTCTTACAAACTGACTGCAAGTCTTGTGACCCACTTCCCAAAAAAATCGACGAAACTTTTCCATCAACCTAATAGACTTTAGATTTCCATTACTCAAATATCAAAAATTTGCTATACAAGCAAAAATCAGTTTGAATTTCATTTCGTTATGCAGATTTTTGTTGTCAGAGTCAACGGCTACTTGGAGTGATGCATCGCCGTTTGATTTCGTCCCCTATCCTTACACGTATTATGGCAGCAGTACCATGTATCTATGGGTGGTGAGTAAAATGTTAATCTAACTTAAAAGGATAAACACCTGAGCAGCACGAAATACAAAGAGTATTTTGAAGAGGACCAATTTTACTCTTTCAACAGTACACAACACAAATACGAGAATCTAAACATAACATTTCTAGCTGCAAAACGACAAATCGTGCAATGTAAAGGGATGGCAAGGGGACATCGAATCGAACTATTTGTCGACTCGTTTCGTATGCAAAATGCCAGCAAAGGCAGTGTAATCTCCTGTTCGTTGTGATTTTTTGAGATTGATCACAAATAAAAGGCCATAAGATTTATTCTTCCTGAATTTTACAATAGCACACTGGTTAAAGGGCCGGCTTCAGGGCAATGAGACAGTTGTGTTTCCATAACTGAAAACAAAAAGGTTTCTAGTTTGAATGGTTTTTATTTTAATTGCTTAAGAAACATATCTTTAATTGAATAATTTTATATATTATTATATAATGTTTTCTCTTGTTTAATCCAACAAAATCTTGCGGCTGCAGCAGAAGTGCACCGTCTTTTTGAAGGACAAAAGTTTCTTGAAAATCTTCCTGTCCGTCCGTTGGCCACTTTTATCTTTATTTTGAGTGTAGCAGAATGATTTTAAATGTAAAAAAAACCGATTTTAAAGTTCTAATAAAAAAACAAAAGATTTAAGTCATTTTGAGAGGGTTCTGAAGGGACAGCTGCTATGTAGCTTTGGCCCTCACATAAACTAAATATCCAAAAAAGCTTCTAGAATTTCTAACATAATACTTGGCGCCATTTGTTTCCCTAAAATCGCGACTGATCGCAGGGCTTTTATAACCTATTGCCGGTCTTTGCTCGAGTATGCCACCATCGTATGATCACCTTCCATTAAGAAACTTATCACCTTGGTTGAAAATGTCCAACGGCGTTTCACAGAAAAAAAGCATACACTCGTTGTTTCCCTTCTTCTCTTATTCCAAATTATGAGACTAGACTTATACATAGTTTTTGATTTAAAACCCCTTTTATATCGCCGTATTTACTTTGATCTTATTTTTTGCTATAAAATTCTTTTCCACCCTAAGTCGCATCCAGAATTTCAAAGCCTCTTGAAAATTGTGGAAATTTCTAGAAGTACATCCTTATCAAATTTCGGTCGGTTCTCATCCCCATCATCTTTCCCTTTATCATTCTTTTGCGAGCCGTATTAGTAGGGTTTGGAATAAGCTCCTGTCTGGTATCTTCTCGTCTGTAGAAAAATTCAAAGTATCTGTAAACGAACCAGATTTTATTGCCATGTCAAATCTGCCCTATATTTAATCTTTTTGTACCTGTGTTTCCTAACTGTAGTCTTACTGTACCATTTTTAGTTTCCTTTCTTTTTTGTGAAAGTATTGTAGCAATATGTTATATGCGGTTATGATTATCTGATTTGCTTCTATTCGCCCCCTGAATAAAGCATATATATTAAAAAAAGTTTGTTTTTTACATTACAATTACAAATTTGTAAGGATTAGAATTGTGCTAGGGCTAGGATTATGATTTTTATCAAAACATAATGTATTCGAGTACTATTCGTAAGAAAGTTCGGAAAGAGTGCGCGGCGATTTCTCAAAAACCAAGCCATGAATTCTTTCCAGATTTTTTTCATAAACTTGACTATATTTCAAAAAGTTTTTGACAAAAACAATCGCGCTTTAGGTAAAAAAATAAGAGATTTCTTCAGCTAAAGTGACTTGGTCACTTTTTGAGTGACCAACCTTTAGACAAGTTTTGAATGGGTTAATGAATAGGCAATGGGTCTCATTCAAAACCTAAAATCAAGTACTTATAAATAGGGAAAATTTGTGATTAAGGCAAATTTTATCTAATGCTTTAACTTTTCAGAATCACCTATTTTAGCAAACACTCAGTGCCAAGAAGATGACACTAAAAAAGTTATTTTTTGAAAGCTTCTCTGTAAAAAAATTTTAGGCTAAAAATACAGATTGTAGATTGTTTGTATTGAGCGTATTGTTTATTTATGCTAGCTTTACTTCATAAGGAATCGTTTTTCTTGTGCAAAGAGTCGCTGAATTTAAGCTGGAAAAATAATAATTTTTCAAAAATTCAAAAATTTTAAGAGGAAGCTACACTCATTTTTTTTCACGAGTAATTTCTTGGAGTTGAATTGTAAATAATAGAAGAAAATGTACTTGATGGATTCGTTTTTAAGAAATTCCAGTCAAACTTTTTCTGAGAATTTTCTTTCCAACCTAATAAAAGAAGTTCATGATAGTTAGGCGACCTCTGAACCCTTTAACCAGGTGTTTTTCTTGGCAAAAAGATACATTTCTAAATCGATTGGCTTTAATTAGATTTTCCCTTTCATTTTGGGCCTATGTTCGTTTGTTAATGTGAGCAAAAGAGAGTGGATTTCCTCCTTTTTCTGTGAAGCCAAAGCTCAAATTACCCCCTCATCTCCCACTAGAATTCTAACCTTTTGTCCATTTTTGTTTTGTTTAACGTTTGAGTTGTCTTTATTTATATTAAGTCTTGACGGCGATGGTTGACAAGGAGAAGTGGTTTTACGAGGATTTCGGTCTTGTTCAGATTGGTTTTTACTCGACCGGTTAGTCGAAAAAGAGACTGTTTGTGCGGATTGTTAATTCAGATTATTTTAGTTTTATGCTCGACTATCAATGTTGTTTGTATCATTTTCATGATGGTAAAAGCGCCGAAAGAGATGCGAGTTCAATCGAGATACATCGTTTATGCAAATGTGCTCTTTTTCAAATTTGATAACTGAGAACTGAGAACTATTTTCTATTATAGTTTGGAGCCGTTATTTACGATATGATCAATGGTCTGCTTTGTCCACTTAGAGGAATGATTGTCGAGAATGGAAAAGCTTATCGATTTGTTGGCCTCTTGGAACTTTGGAATGTTGACTTGAGGATACAAACGGTAAAATCCAAATTTACGTTCAATATCTAACATTAGTTAACAAAGAAAACATAATGAAAGAATCTGAACAAGAAATAGAAGTGGACTCCGAGAAGGGGGCTCCGGGAGGGCGTCCCGGGGTATGTACGTGGTAAATCGGTGAACGTACCAATGTCCACGAATCCCTCAACAATATTCGTCACCTTTGGGAAGGTTAAAGTTTGAATAAAGAATGAAAGCCTCACTTGAATGCTTTTGAATTTACACTTCGGTTTTGGCATCACGTGATTTTGACAGACCTAGCATATCTTGTTCAGTTTTTTGCGCTGATTCCAATGGTGTATGTCGTTTGGGGATGACGGTTCTAAAATTTTGAGAGATTACGCTGCAAAGTTTACGTTAAGATTGGGCATTCACGAAACCGTCATAAGGAGTCATAAGGGTTCTACAGAGATGGATGAAGTGGACTTACTCTATCCATTAGGTTTCGAGACAGGAGTTATGCTGTTTTTTGAAAATCTTATGTAGAACGAAAATGTAGAACGTTCCCTTGTTACAAATTTAATTTAATCTCCACTCCTATAAGGCTTTCTATTTTTAGTTATTGCTTCTTCTCACCGCTTGGCATATGAGCTTTGCTCTTCATGGGATTTTTGTTGGGGTTTTGTTGCGCATTTTACCGAGCAAATGTGGCAAACGGTCAATGACGAAGTGGGTAGATTTTGAAGGATTTTGAACTCAAGGCAGGTTAGATTCAAGTTTGAATTCAAGGCAATTAAAGCCAAAAGCCCAAAAGCCTAAGGCGGTTAAAGCCAAAGCCTAAAGCGGTTAAAGCCAAAAACCAAAACGCATTTATAAAAGCCCACTGCTAGAAATGAAGCTAGAAACCACTTCTATGAAAATTTGAAGCAAAAAATATTTGGCTTGACTTTGAATTAGTTTTTCCTACAAAAATAGGCTTTAGCAACAGCTCTGATAAGTCAAAAAATCCTCAAAATGTAGCTGCTATTCATTGCAGGATTGTCGGAATGATCTCGTTGTTGAATGGGGCTACTCTCCTCGCATACTACATCATGTTTTTCCTTCTCGGTGACACAGTTTGTATTAAGTCACAAATCATTAATTTTTAACTTTTTAAGAATCAATACATAATCATTGGACGCACTCTTTTGGTAAAAACAAAAACACCAACCACGATAAGCGCCCTGTTTTGCGTGGTAATCACTTTGTGTTGCTTGGCCGCGTTGATTGCCCTTCTACATTGGCATCTCAAAAATGAGGCTCATTTATCACTGACAACGGCTCGGCGACAAAAAATGCTACTTAAAAACAGCTTGATACAGGTTTGAGATTTCGAACACTAAACATTTTTCGCTGTTGATCAGTTGATTTCCAGTTTCTCGTGCCTCTGCTTTTCTACGCTTGCCCGGTAGCTGTTCGCATGATTGCTTTGCGCGTTGAGCGTTTCAGATCCGACGGTAGAATTGATTTACAGCTCTTAGAGCTATTTAGCTATAAATAGCTTTAGCTAGCTATAAACTTTAGCCCTAATCGAGTACGCTAACTTTGTTCAAACTTTCTACGGCTCATTGTTCACCCTCACCACCATTGTTCTCTATCGACCGTATCGCAGGTTTTTTGCTGAGAAACTTGAATGTAAGCGTTTTGAAGAGAATTTTGCTGAAAACTAAAATGAAAAAACAATGAGCGATACATTTCAGCTGTCATCGACTTCTCGAACTTCTCACAAACCAACAATGAAACGCGTATTTTGGCAAATCATCTGATCTCTTCGTGAAGAAATGCTTTAATTTGAAAGTGCAAGAAAGTGTTTAGAAGCTGTAGTAGAAGCTTTAAAGTTGTAGTAGAAGAAAACAAACAGAACTGTACACAGGCAACGCAAACTTTTCCAAGTCTTGGTTCGGTCTTGGCCCGCTACCAGTTTCTCAAACTGCTTGGTACAGGTCTTTTAGTCATGCCTATCATGATCAAAAAGCGTCTGATTCCATCCAGAAAACTTCAAGGTTATGGAAAAGGTATTTAGGTATTTATAAATATTTTTATCTAGCACTTATTCAACATTTTAGAGAATTACCCTGTCGTTAGTTTTGATGCAGAATAAAACGGACCGAACAAGTCCGATTCAAATCCGATATTTAGACTTTTAGTCCAATTCTATCTTTCCAGAAAGCCAGCCAATACCGGTACAATAGTTTGCCACATTTTTACAACAAAAGCGATAAAAATTTAAATAAAATGTTTGTGTTTTATAAAAAGCACATATCATTGCCATTCGATAGTGAACATAAAATGAAAGATAACAAAAATGACGCTACCTTTTGATCTTTCCAAAAGACTGGTAAAAAGAAGTTTTTTATAAAGCTCCAAACGATAATAAACAGTAGAAAAACTAAAAGTTCTTCTATACAAATCCCGATTCCTATTAGCTAAACGGGAAAATATGTTGTCAATTGATCTATCGAGATCACATTATATAAAGAGGTGGCAAAAGAAACGATTCAACAGCATCAAAGTCAGCTTGAGTAGCTTTCCAGGAAGATAGGGTTGAATATTGGAACTTGGAAAAATATTGGAACTAATCGATGCGGAGGAGCGCCGGATGTGGCATCTCAAGGTGACAACGGTGGCATCACCACGTGGCAAATCCGGGACGATCAACAGCAGCGAAGCCGAACGGATGTGCTGATTGTGCTGGGCTCGATGATTTTGAGCAATACGCTACATGGGTCCGTCGCCTTAAACGTGCCTCTGCGAGATGTTTATAGCTATGATTATTAAGTTTCATTGGTTTTTCTCGAGAGTTTAGATAATTGTGGTTCTGAAGATCCGGATATTTTCTTCTTTCTTCCTTTCTTCTTCCCCCTTGTCTTTCCTTCTTTCTCTTGGCTAGTTAACGTACCGGATAGCTCAGTGATTAGAGCAATTGCCCGGAAAACAAAAGGTGAAAAGTTCAATCCCCTTTCCGGAAATCTATTTTATTTCTTGCCAATTCCTTCACTCCTTTATTATCCAGCGCCAATTTTCAGGTTGGTTCGTTTATTCATTTGTAAACTCTCCTCAAAACAGCTTGGTTTTTGTCTTTGAGTCACTGCCAACTCCCCGGAGAGTAACATTTTAGAGCTGCATAACGAAAAAAGTAAATTGATAATAAGAGCTTCCCTTGGAAACGGGTTTCACTTTGTATAGGCGGAAATACAATTATAATATTCCTTCGTTTTTTTCTAAATTTCGGTTGTTTTCTAATAATTTTGGTTCTTTCAACTCTTTCTTTGTAAATAGTAAGTGATAGTCAAGTATTGAAACGGATTCCAGAAAATGCAAGCCTATTTTAAGTACGGGAATCTCGGATACATACAATAATGTGTACAACAATATTGTGTACGGATACATACAATACTCATAGCCAATCATATACCAATATCCCGTATAGAAATACGCTAAGATAATACATAAACAGGACAGCTTCAGAAATTCTCCGCTCCATATGACAGTTAACGACAAAATATAAGCGACCTTAAAACAAGTTTTTAAAAAAAAACTAATGCTTAGTTGTTTATAGCAAACCTCAAAGAAAAAGCCGGCTGTCATGTAGGCAACGCCGATGTACGGATGTTTTACATGATGAGCCGATAACTCGTTGAAAGTTAGCGTGACATTTCTAGAAAAACAAACGATTGCTTTGACTCAACTTTCAAAATTTCAGCCCAAATCGGCTGGAAGTACAAATCGACTACGACATACATATATTGTATATATTTTTAGAAAATGAGGTTCTATTAGAAGTGGAGTGAAATTAGAAGAAACACTTACACGCAAGAGTACTGCGGGTTCGATTCGAGATTCCCGTACTTAAAATAGGCTTGCATTTTCTGGAATCCGTTTCAATACTTGACTATCACTTACTATTTACAAAGAAAGAGTTGAAAGAACCAAAATTATTAGAAAACAACCGAAATTTAGAAAAAAAACGAAGGAATATTATAATTGTATTTCCGCCTATACAAAGTGAAACCCGTTTCCAAGGGAAGCTCTTATTATCAATTTACTTTTTTCGTTATGCAGCTCTAAAATGTTACTCTCCGGGAGTTGGCAGTGACTCAAAGACAAAAACCAAGCTGTTTTGAGGAGAGTTTACAAATGAATAAACGAACCAACCTGAAAATTGGCGCTGGATAATAAAGGAGTGAAGGAATTGGCAAGAAATAAAATAGATTTCCGGAAAGGGGATTGAACTTTTCACCTTTTGTTTTCCGGGCAATTGCTCTAATCACTGAGCTATCCGGTACGTTAACTAGCCAAGAGAAAGAAGGAAAGACAAGGGGGAAGAAGAAAGGAAGAAAGAAGAAAATATCCGGATCTTCAGAACCACAATTATCTAAACTCTCGAGAAAAACCAATGAAACTTAATAATCATAGCTATAAACATCTCGCAGAGGCACGTTTAAGGCGACGGACCCATGTAGCGTATTGCTCAAAATCATCGAGCCCAGCACAATCAGCACATCCGTTCGGCTTCGCTGCTGTTGATCGTCCCGGATTTGCCACGTGGTGATGCCACCGTTGTCACCTTGAGATGCCACATCCGGCGCTCCTCCGCATCGATTAGTTCCAATATTTTTCCAAGTTCCAATATTCAACCCTATCTTCCTGGAAAGCTACTCAAGCTGACTTTGATGCTGTTGAATCGTTTCTTTTGCCACCTCTTTATATAATGTGATCTCGATAGATCAATTGACAACATATTTTCCCGTTTAGCTAATAGGAATCGGGATTTGTATAGAAGAACTTTTAGTTTTTCTACTGTTTATTATCGTTTGGAGCTTTATAAAAAACTTCTTTTTACCAGTCTTTTGGAAAGATCAAAAGGTAGCGTCATTTTTGTTATCTTTCATTTTATGTTCACTATCGAATGGCAATGATATGTGCTTTTTATAAAACACAAACATTTTATTTAAATTTTTATCGCTTTTGTTGTAAAAATGTGGCAAACTATTGTACCGGTATTGGCTGGCTTTCTGGAAAGATAGAATTGGACTAAAAGTCTAAATATCGGATTTGAATCGGACTTGTTCGGTCCGTTTTATTCTGCATCAAAACTAACGACAGGGTAATTCTCTAAAATGTTGAATAAGTGCTAGATAAAAATATTTATAAATACCTAAATACCTTTTCCATAACCTTGAAGTTTTCTGGATGGGATCAGACGCTATTATTTCAGAGTGCCGGTAAGAGCTCGGTGATCGAAGCGATCGTGGGTCGTGATTTCCTGCCAAGAGGCACTGGCATCGTTACTCGTCGACCACTCATTCTACAACTATGCCACATAGCAGCCGAAGATGAGGAGAAACGAGAGGGACGTGAAGGTACATTGAGCCTCTTCGTTTTTGCGGTTTCTGCAAAGAGTTTATAATTAACAATAAGTTTATACGCTCGTTGTTAATGAGGAATTTCGCTTTGTAAACTATAACTTGATGAAACTAAAAATGGATTAAATTTGCTCGCAACTCACGTTTTACGACTAATAAACGAATTTATGATTAATGAACAAACATCCAAATGTTTCCAGGTGATTGGGCTCAATTCGAGCATACCAACGCGAAGATCTTTGAGGATTTCGAGTTGGTGAGAAAAGAGATCGCCGATGAGACGGATCGATCGACCGGAACAAATAAGGTGGGATTTGGCCTACCTGAATTGTAAAATGAAGCCTTTTTAAGTTGCTTAGACAAAATGTAACACACTTAGGGAATCGATGACAAGCCGATTTCGTTGAGGATCTTCTCGGATCGTTTCCCCAATTTGACGCTAGTCGATCTTCCAGGAATGACGAAAATCCCTGTCGGCGATCAACCACTTGATATTGAAGTAAGAGCGTGTTTAATTATAGTATTTAATACATTTTATTCAGCAACAAATCCTCAAAATGATCATGCACTACATCAACAACCCCAACTCGATTATCCTGGCGGTAACTCCAGCGAATCAGGATTTTGCTACTTCTGAACCGATGAAAATGGCCAAAGAGGTCGATCCGGAAGGTATGCAAGTTAAAATTATCCAAAAACGAATAAGATAAATTCTTTGCAGGTGAGCGAACGTTGGCGGTTTTGACCAAGTTGGATTTGATGGATCGTGGCACAAATGCTTTGGACATCCTATCGGGTCAACTCGTGGACGTAAAGTTAGGAATCGTCGGTGTGGTGAATCGTTCACAGGTCTCGGATTTGGTTTTATTTGGTAGTTAAACTCTATACAGGCTGATATCATGGCCGAGAAGCCAATGGACGAGGCCTTACAAGCCGAAGAAGCATTCTTCCAGAAAGAGTATCCGAATTTCGCGAAAACCCAGGGCACACGCTATTTGTCCGTGAGACTTAATGTGGTAAGTAAAAAAAAGTATACAGACTGAGTATTTAAAGCATGTCTGGAGAAAAAGTTAATAATAGTCATAGGCCTCCTGGCCATAGCACTCCATGGATTTTTGGCTTCATCTGGCCTAAAACTCAGTCGGTCACAGTTGAAACTCAAGTCATATTATATGGCTTGGAAGTCCGTATAACAAGTCGGTATAACAATATAACAATCTTAGACTTTTCTAGCTCTTGATAAATCACATTCACGAATGTCTGCCAAGTTTGAAAGACCGAGTGGCATCGCTCATCAGCCAGTATGAGGTCAAGTTGAACGTCTACGGAAGGCCGATCGAGGACAAGAATCAAGCGCTGCTGAAAATCCTTACCAAGTAGTTTTTGAGAATCATACAAGGTGTCTCATAAAAAAACGCTTTCAAATCGAATGTCCTAAAAATTTCTAATGGCTGTAGGTGCAGCTACCTTTGGTGTGAAAAGAGTTTATTTGTGCTCAGGAATTTTTCACGTTTTTTCTCTTTCTCACCATATCTTGATACCTTGTACATGGGATTATGGGTGCCATCATGGGTCTCACCACCACTACCATCATCGCCAGCCACGCCACCACAAACACTTGTATTTTACTGAGAGTTTGCATTGCAACATGGCAAATACAAATGAAAATCTCTAGAAAAGGCAAATGACTCATTCCCTCGCCATTTCTTTAGTGAAAAGTTGGCTTGCTCGTTTTGCATTTTGATTGAATTTAGCCTCAACTAGCACTGTGTACACAATAAAAACAATTTTCACATTCTGGGTACAGGGAAACTCTCAGTATAATACAGTGCGTTTCAAATTCTTAAACGTACCTTATAAGCTAGCGAATTTTGCATTTTGACCACCGCTAAAACTATTAATCTTTTTCTATTAGAAAGAGCATGTCTTAAAACCTAAAAAACACGAAAAAAAAGCATACTGTAAGAAGTAAAAATTTTCAAAATAGAAACTTTTTGCGAAATCAACCGTTTCAAATTCTTAAACGCACTATAAAAATATTTTTATTTATCGACACAAATTAAAAATCAAGGGTAAAAAATCAAAACTAATAATCTGTACACGCACCACAACGATTAATTACTTGAAAAATGCGGCCTGGCATTGAATTGATGAGGTTTTGAAGAGCAGAGACGTCGAGATCGCTCCAAGCCGAAAAAATTGCTGCTTTAAGTGTAGAAACGTCTTGAAACTAGCGATGATTCTTGTAGACAGCTCGGACAAGTATTCCCCATAAATTCTCTATCGGATTGAGGTCAGGAGACTGAGCGGGCCAGTCCAAAGTTGCAATGTTGTCGCTGTTCAGCCAGTCTCGGGTGTCTCCGGCTCGATGAATTGACGCGTTGTCGTGTTGACACACATGGGGAATGCCTGAATGTAGGTGCAAAAATGGCAGCAAGCAATGGTCCAAGACGTCTATATAGTCAAAACGATTCATCCGATTCGAAACCATCTTTAGAGCGACCGTTCCATCAGCACAAAATGCGGCCCAAACCATCACAGAACCACCGCCAAAGTTTCGAGTCCCAAACACCATCGGATCACGTCGAAGATCCCTCCAATAGTAGCCAACGCCACCGGGGCCATCCAAATTCCATTTCTTCTCATCGGAAAAGATCACCTAAACGCAAAAAAATAATAAAACATAATCGGCTTTCTAACCATAGACCAATCCTGATTCATATGAGCCTTGGCGAACGCCAATCGGGCTTTCTTGTGCAAAAGCGTTACAACCGGTTGCTTGTTCAACAAGTGTCGATCGATATGTGAATTTTCCGTGACGGCTCACCAAATTGTCGACTTCGAAGCGTCGATTTTCAGTTCCGTTTTCACTTCATTAATCGTTTTTCCGTGGATGTTGTTCACAATATGGCGTCTAGCTCGCGGTGTAAGCTTTGGTTTTAGTCCTGGCTTCTTCTTTGGTGTAGAAAGAAACTCGGATTTTATATAATTTCGCACGGCAGAGTCGGATCGGCCCAAATTTTTTGCGATTTTCCTTATTGAGTTGCCAATCCTCAAATGGGCATCAATCTGGCCTTTTTCATAATCCGTGAGCAGCTTTCCGTATGCCATTTACCTGGAAATTAACAAAAATTATAAATTTAATAAAAAAATATGCACAACAAAACGAAAAATTTCAAATAACAGCAGCAAAGGCGGGTGTGTTTAAGAATTTGAAACGGTTGATTTAGCAAAAAGTTTCTATTTTGAAAATTTTTACTTTTTACAGTATGCTTAATTTTCGTGTTATTTAGGTTTTAAGACATGCTCTTTCTAATAGAAAAAGATTAATAGTTTTAGCGGTGGTCAAAATGCAAAATTCGCTAGCTTATAAGGTGCGTTTAAGAATTTGAAACGCACTGTATTATACTGAGAGTTTCCCTGTACCCAGAATGTGAAAATTGTTTTTATTGTGTACACAGTGCTAGTTGAGGCTAAATTCAATCAAAATGCAAAACGAGCAAGCCAACTTTTCACTAAAGAAATGGCGAGGGAATGAGTCATTTGCCTTTTCTAGAGATTTTCATTTGTATTTGCCATGTTGCAATGCAAACTCTCAGTAAAATACAAGTGTTTGTGGTGGCGTGGCTGGCGATGATGGTAGTGGTGGTGAGACCCATGATGGCACCCATAATCCCATGTACAAGGTATCAAGATATGGTGAGAAAGAGAAAAAACGTGAAAAATTCCTGAGCACAAATAAACTCTTTTCACACCAAAGGTAGCTGCACCTACAGCCATTAGAAATTTTTAGGACATTCGATTTGAAAGCGTTTTTTTATGAGACACCTTGTATGATTCTCAAAAACTACTTGGTAAGGATTTTCAGCAGCGCTTGATTCTTGTCCTCGATCGGCCTTCCGTAGACGTTCAACTTGACCTCATACTGGCTGATGAGCGATGCCACTCGGTCTTTCAAACTTGGCAGACATTCGTGAATGTGATTTATCAAGAGCTAGAAAAGTCTAAGATTGTTATATTGTTATACCGACTTGTTATACGGACTTCCAAGCCATATAATATGACTTGAGTTTCAACTGTGACCGACTGAGTTTTAGGCCAGATGAAGCCAAAAATCCATGGAGTGCTATGGCCAGGAGGCCTATGACTATTATTAACTTTTTCTCCAGACATGCTTTAAATACTCAGTCTGTATACTTTTTTTTACTTACCACATTAAGTCTCACGGACAAATAGCGTGTGCCCTGGGTTTTCGCGAAATTCGGATACTCTTTCTGGAAGAATGCTTCTTCGGCTTGTAAGGCCTCGTCCATTGGCTTCTCGGCCATGATATCAGCCTGTATAGAGTTTAACTACCAAATAAAACCAAATCCGAGACCTGTGAACGATTCACCACACCGACGATTCCTAACTTTACGTCCACGAGTTGACCCGATAGGATGTCCAAAGCATTTGTGCCACGATCCATCAAATCCAACTTGGTCAAAACCGCCAACGTTCGCTCACCTGCAAAGAATTTATCTTATTCGTTTTTGGATAATTTTAACTTGCATACCTTCCGGATCGACCTCTTTGGCCATTTTCATCGGTTCAGAAGTAGCAAAATCCTGATTCGCTGGAGTTACCGCCAGGATAATCGAGTTGGGGTTGTTGATGTAGTGCATGATCATTTTGAGGATTTGTTGCTGAATAAAATGTATTAAATACTATAATTAAACACGCTCTTACTTCAATATCAAGTGGTTGATCGCCGACAGGGATTTTCGTCATTCCTGGAAGATCGACTAGCGTCAAATTGGGGAAACGATCCGAGAAGATCCTCAACGAAATCGGCTTGTCATCGATTCCCCTAAGTGTGTTACATTTTGTCTAAGCAACTTAAAAAGGCTTCATTTTACAATTCAGGTAGGCCAAATCCCACCTTATTTGTTCCGGTCGATCGATCCGTCTCATCGGCGATCTCTTTTCTCACCAACTCGAAATCCTCAAAGATCTTCGCGTTGGTATGCTCGAATTGAGCCCAATCACCTGGAAACATTTGGATGTTTGTTCATTAATCATAAATTCGTTTATTAGTCGTAAAACGTGAGTTGCGAGCAAATTTAATCCATTTTTAGTTTCATCAAGTTATAGTTTACAAAGCGAAATTCCTCATTAACAACGAGCGTATAAACTTATTGTTAATTATAAACTCTTTGCAGAAACCGCAAAAACGAAGAGGCTCAATGTACCTTCACGTCCCTCTCGTTTCTCCTCATCTTCGGCTGCTATGTGGCATAGTTGTAGAATGAGTGGTCGACGAGTAACGATGCCAGTGCCTCTTGGCAGGAAATCACGACCCACGATCGCTTCGATCACCGAGCTCTTACCGGCACTCTGAAATAATAGAATCTGGGATTATCGTTTACAAACATGGCCACCAAAGCATTGAACTTAATTGAATAATAGCTGACTTCTTTTAAAAGGTAAGTACGTTAATAAACTGGCTGGCTGGACAACCCAACCCTTTTCTTCTACCAAAGAAAGCCTGGTCAAGTACTATCTTACATAAGAGCTCTTCTCCTTAAAACAAAAAGGGCAAATTGGCTTACCTGTGCTCCAACGATCACAATTTGCGGTAACTGAATCTCAGCTTCACGCGATCCGACCACAGCGAAAACGTCTTGGAGTTTGTTGATTGTTGAGATCAAGAATTCCATCTATATATATATATATACTATATATACCAGCAAAATTTACACAGAATAGAAAAGGAAAATAGTATTGACAATAAAGAAATTTAGCGGGAAAACGCTAAGTGGGGGAATGGCAAACTACCATAAAGCAGCTTGACGATAGGAATTTCAATACGAAAAATAGCAATTATTGTGCTAGACAGGAACTTGCTCGTTTAAAAACCGGGCAAAATGATCAATTTCTAATGCTATTTGTTAGAGAATTCCATGCGCGAACAACACGATTGTGAAAGCAATTAAAAGAATCATTAGAAAGGGATCTGGGATACTTAAAAGATATGTCTGTTCTGGAGCTTAAGGGGGCAGAGGGAGGGAAGAAATTCGCATAAAGGGAATCAGAATGTTTGCACTTCAGGATTTTAAAACACCCTAATAAGTCAATGATTAGTCGTCGGTGTTGCAAAGTATCCAATTGGAAAACTTTGTGACATGACAGCCATGACAGTCGGAAAAAAGCGGGATAAGTAAACTCAAATCTTTGACCACTTGGCCGCTACTAGGGGAAGATAGAGAAGAATTATTTATCTTAAGAGGAAATTGAAATTTACCCGCCAAAAATTGAATACTTTTAGATTGAGATAACTCTAGTTCCCAGGTTTTCGCTCATTTCAAGGCAATAAAGATGGTTTCCGTTTGGAACAAAGTCCTTTGCTCAAAAGAATCTGTTATTTCTTTGTAAGCTAGAACTAATTGAGAGGATGTAGACTTTCCTTAGAGAGTAGCTTCTGTACACGAGAGGCTCTTGAATCGTGCAAGACAAGAACGATCGGTGGCAAAAGATTCTGCTTAGAACAAGATAAGTAGAGGGTCGCTGAAAAAACGCCGGGAAAAGTCTAGTCGATACGAAATCGATTTAGTTGCTATATTTTGTTGAATCATCGAGACAAAGGGTGAACCATTGATGTTTATGCAAAAGATCTCTCTTCCCCTTTTTTGAATGAATCATTGCCTTGTTCATTCCACAAAACACTTTGTTGAACCATCAAGACACAGGGTGAACCATTTTTTTATGAAAAAGATCTCTCATCGAGGAAACACATTGCATTTATTATATCAAAATGAAAATTCTCCGATCAAAGTATCGAAGTGTATCTCTCTCGAGATTGTTCATTGGTTAGAATCATTGCTTAGAAAGAATCATTGCTTAGAAAGCCTTTGTGCCACTATAAAAACGTTTTGTTGTTGGCTAGTGAAAAACTGAAGGGCCTGAAATATAAGATAAAATGTGGTTCTTGGTTTCTATTCTAAAATTGAGATCAAATATTGGCTTTCTTTGCCACATTTTAATGCCATTTTTTCCTAAGCGCTGGTTAATGCTAGAAATTTGTGTTAAAGAGCCGTCAAAAAAGTCTTAGCCGGTCAATGTTCACTTTGGTATAGATCACATTCAAACCGAAAAACCACAAATAGTTTTATGTAGCATTTTCAAAGGCTGTTAAAATGAATTTAGCTTTTCGATATCCTTTGAACTAAGAGTTTTGTGATCGAAAAACCTTATTTGAGAATCATTTTTTTAAATCTTTATTTCAAGAGTGAATGGATCCCATTCAAAACGATTCCAATTATAATGGCATTGGATCGTCTATTACTTAATTATTAGTTTTGTTCTGGTGAAAATGAAAGGCTACTAGCAGTTTTGAAGCCATGAACCTGAGAATCTGAGAAAAAGGACCTTACGACCTTATGCAAAAGTAGCTTGCAAAATTCTATTTAGAGCCATATAAAAAATCTAAGAATATCATCTTAAAGCTCTCAAGAAATACTACAAAAAAAACTAATTGGGATCGATTTATTTGAATGCGACCTAACGGGAGAAAAATGAGAAAACATTGACCGGCCGACTAAGACTTTTTGACGATTGTATCTCAAAAAATCACCCATTCTCTCTACTTTAATTTGATACCTAAGGGCGCAGAAGCAAACGTCCTGGTGTTAAGATATGAACGTTTGTTTGAGAGTAAACTTAGACTACGCGACGCTCCTATAGGGCGAGGGGGGCCACTATTAGAGTATTACGGTGTCAACCCATAAACTCATAAATAAACTTGCTGCCCGCGCCAAAAACCGCTTAAAATATTCCAAACACCAACCTGGACGCCATCCAAACTCGCTCGTTGAAGACGGTGTTGTTGTGCGTCTTGTCGCCGAATATCCGCTGCCTAAACAGACAACAATTACTCACCAATCTTAATCTTCCATTATAAGAAATATGGAGGCGTTAAAAAACTTAGAACTACGTGTGTCACTTAAACTCTTACTGAAAATAAAATAGTTTAAAAGCTAAGTTCCAAACGTTAACGTGGTCGCTATCCAAATTTGCTCTTTGCCGTTGGTGTTGTTGGGCATTTTGTCGCCGAATACCCGCTGCCTAAACAGTCAATAACTACTTTCAAACAATAATAATGACTTTTATTAGAAAAAATCTAGTACCTGAGCATTTCCCAACGATGCTCTTTGCGTTTGGGCAGCTGCCCGGCCCGGCTCGCGACGTCTTCGATTTGGCATCTGTAAAAAACCAAATATAAACAAAACGCAAGTGCCAAACAAAGTAAACGTGAAAGAGTTAAAAAGGGGTTGAATTTTTAGGAATAGCTAACTTCGAATTGTTTCTAAAGAAAAGCATAGCTAAGCTGAACTTAAACAGACACGCGGAAAGATCAGTCTTCAAAAAACGCAAATTGGCGCTAACGAGGGAAGGCTACAAGGCTGAGGTGGCCAAATGACATGAACCATCTACCATACGGCGCAGAACTTTACGCTGATTCCGATGCTGCTATCCGCTTTTGCAAAATGATTCGGAAACGCGAGGAATCTGGCAAATAAGATTGAGGTCAAATTAGAAGTCAAAAATCAGTCCTTATATAAGGCTCTTTCGCCGTCCCGAAATGTGAACTTGTGTTGTAGTGGATAAGAGTTTTGTTTCTGAAACAAGCCATCAAGCTTCTGCTCGGCTTCGATCCCCTCCTCCTTTTGTTTTCATTTTATTTTGATGTTTGACCGCTCGAATTTGCTCTATTTTAACTTCACAAGAAGTATTATGACATCTTTTAATTGATAACAAACAAAATAACCGAAAATTAACACACGTGGCTGCAATCTAAAAAGTGAATGAAATGCAAGATGTCATAATACTTCTTTTAAAGTTAAAATGGAGGGAATTGGAGCGGTTAAACACCAAAATAAAATAAAAACAAAAGGAAGGGATCGAACCCAAGCAAAAACTCGATAGCTTGATTCGGAAACAAGATTCTCATCCACTACACCTCAAGCTCACATTTCGAGACGGTGAAAGAAGCCTTATATGGAGGCTGATTTTTGAACTCTAATTTCACCTCAAACTTATTTGCCAGATTCCTCCCGCTTCCGAGTCATTTGGTACCTTGAGAGGGGCCCCTTTTCTCCTGGCTTAGTTGGACCTAATATTTTGAGTGGTTGTATTGATAACTTTTGTCTATTCTAGAGGAATCAAATATGCTTAATAAATTGGTGACTATTTTAGCAAGTTTTCGGGAATTCTAGCCTAATCTCATGTACTTTAACCATCAAACGCTACCTCAAAGCTTGCTTACACTTGAAAATCAAATAAAAGCGGCAATATCAAAACTGAAACATGTTGTAAATCCTCTAAAAGTCTAACCATATTTGATTGCCCTAGAATCGGTAGATAAAAGGTATCAATGCAACCACTCAAAACATTAGATCCAACTAAGCCAGGATAAAAGTGAAGGAAGAAAAAGGAAAAAAATAGTATAGATTTAATTCTGTATGTTTAAGTTAACCCATTCGAAACTTCTGCAGCGAATAATCGCTGCAACAAAAACTCAGGAACGGACCGCTGCAGCGATTATTCGCTGCAGCCCTAAGTGAGCTATTTTCATTCAATTAATTGCTTTTTTTTTGCTGTTTTCAGCATTACATGTATATTCCAATTGTAGCAGATCTACAAATTACGTGGGCAAAAAAAGATGTTTCATATTTACCCGGAATCAATGCAGTCTCTGGTTTTGCATTGAAATGTTCCATAATAGCTTTAATCTTAAAAAGCCGATCTCCTGCAGAATCCAGTTCATTATCACAAAAACGCAGGTTTCGAAGAATGGATTCAAATTTTGCTCTTGACATAATGTGGGACATGTGGGAAAATCCTCCTAATCCAGGCCTGCTACTCCAGTAGTCACGAATCCTCGGTATTTTGACGATTCCCATTTGAAGCCAGGAAGCGCTTGAAAGATTTTGCATCGAAATCCTGCCAGTTTGAACTGAAGTCAAATCTTCATCAAAAATAAATGGTGTAGGAGACTCTCTTACATTTTTCCAACCATAAATAAACTGCTTCGGAGTCAAAAATGTCAAAAAAAGGCTTGGTCCGTAGACGAAAAAAAAGAAAAAACGCTGCGGTTTCGAATGGGTTAATATTGTGTTGTGTATGTCTGTATTTTGTGGCCCTAAAGAGGCCCGTTGGATTGGGGGTTATGTTAGCTCACTGACACGAGTAAAGTTGTTGCACTTGCGAGCAGAAATGGAACCATGGATCGTCAGCAAACTGGCAAAAGATGGCAAAAGATGGCAAAAGATTCTGCTTAGAACAAGATAAGTAGAGGAGCGCTGAAAGAAGGGCGGGAAAAGTCTAGTCGATATTTTGCTGAATCATCGAGACAAAGGGTGAACCATTTATGTTTATGCAAAGGTCTCTCATCGAGGAAACACATTGCATTTGTTATATCAAAATGGAAATTCTCCGATCAAAGTATCGAAGTGAATCTCTCTCGGGATTGTTCATTGCTTAGAATCATTGCTTAGAAAGCCTTTGTGCCACTATAAAAAAGTTTTGTTGTTGGCTAGTGAAAAACTGAAATAGCCCAAAATATAAGATAAAATGTGGTTCTATTCTAAAATTGAGATCAAATATGATTGATGAAGTGATAGCTAGCTAAAAAAAAACTAAATGATGTCACCATTTCCAG